ATTGAGTCGCCCATTTAGTATGTATGATTTCCAGGCTGCTTTGTTTTTGTTGTGTAGGATGATCTGTTTTCTTTATTCGAGTACTTAATTCCGTTGACACTGCCGGAGGGTAGAATAACCATGGTGGAAATGGGGAGTAGGTTATCGTTTCTATACGTTTTCCCAGCTTGCTTTGTATTCTATATCCAAAAGGTTTGTTTACGTTTTTCCCCTTCAAGTATTCAAAATGCCAACATGGTTCAATGTTTTTTAACAACGGATGATTCGCCCATCTTTCGATGTTTTGTCTATATTTACTTGAAAGCATTTGTCTTCTTATATCCAAAGGCATTTCCCCCATTTCCACCTGTAGTGATTCTAAGGAGGTTAATGGCAGCCCACCTGCGCATATCCTCAGTGCTTGGTATTGGACAGAGTCAATGGCTTTTTTGGTGGTAGCAGCTGCACTGTCATACGCCTCACATCCGTAATCAAAAAGAGACCTTATAATTGCTCTGTACACCATGATAAGTGATTTCGAGGAACTTCCCCAGTTTGTTCCAGTTAGACATCTTAAGATATTTAATTTTCTTTTACTTCTCGTGATTACATTTTCGATATGTGGTTGCCAAGTTAACCTTTTATCAAATATAACCCCTAAAAAGCGATGAGATTTTTCGTACATTAACACATTTCCATTCAGTTCTATATCAGGCGGTAGAACGGCATTCCAGCTTTTCGTAAAAAATACGGGCACTGTTTTAACAGGTGAGAGTCGAAACCCCCACTCTTCAAACCAACGATTTAAAAGATTCAAATATTTCTGTATTTTTTCAGTAATATGTACAATGTTCCTGCCTGATATCCATATTGCGCAGTCATCTGCATACATAGATATGCTTACATCTTGGTCTGTAGGTATATCACCCATCATTATATTATATAAAAGAGGACTTAAAACACTCCCTTGTGGTAACCCGTTATGCGTTTTATAAGTTTTAGATTCTGTATTTCCAATTCGTACTTGAAAAGTTCGTGCTGTTAGATAATTTTCTATATATCTCAGCATGTTCCCTTCTATTCCATTTTTTGCTAATTTAAAAACCAGACCCTTTATCCAAACTGTATCGAAAGCCTTTTCGACATCCAAGAAAACCGCTATTACATGTTCATTACAATTTATACTCTTTTGGATGTCATTTTCTAATTGTACAATATTGTCCGTCACACTACGACCTTTCCTAAATCCACTTAAAAAATTGGGTAATAATTCATGCTTTTCAACATACCATTGTAATCTTTCTTTTATCATTCGTTCAATTATTTTGGCAAAACATGATGTTAAAGAGATTGGTCTATATGACGATGTATTTCTGGGATCTTTTCCATGTTTGAGAATAGGGATTATTATAGAATGCTTTAGTTGAATTGGAATTTCCCCGGTTTTCCATATTAAGTTAATAATGTTCAGCATGATTTCCTTGTTTGCTTTTGGCAGATTTTCATAAACAACGTAAGGTATATTATCTTTTCCTGGGGCAGTCTTTTTTCGCGATTGCACTGCCTTTTCAAATTCTGTTATAAAAAAGGGTTCATTTATAACATGATCTACATTTAAAATATGAATGTCATTATTTGGTGCCTTCGGTAATTCCTTATTAGTATCCCTGTCTTTTATTCCTATTTTTTGAAAGTAATTTCCAAAGGCATTTGCTTTCTCCTGATCGGAGACAATATCTTTACTATTTACAATCAATGTTGACATATTTTTTGTTTTTTTTATTAGTACACCATTCAGCCGTTTTATACAAGCCCAGATCTTAGATTCTGGCATATACTGATCAAGCTTTGTGCAAAATGCTCGCCAGTAATTTCGTTCTGCTTGGCGGAGCACACGCTGTGCTTCTGCTTTCTTTTTTAAGTACTCATCTACCTTTTCAAAAGTTATTTTCCGTGACATCTTATTACACATTCTATTTCTCTCTTTGATTTTCTCTGTACATTCTTTGGTCCACCAAGGCACCGGATTTTTAGAGACATTTCTCCTTTTCGGTACAGTTTCTTTTATACACAGTTTTAAATATTTCATGAAATTATCATATATTTCCTGTATATCATTATTTATAAGTATGAGATCATTTGTAATCATCTCTTCACATTTCTTAGCAAATTTTTTCAAATTTATATGTTTAAAGGAGATAAAATCATCTGCACTTCTTATTGAAGCATCTTTATATTCAGAGCTTTTCCCGTCTAAAGTTGTTTGGATATTTATTGGGAAGTGATCACTTCCAAAAAGGCTTTCCATGACTCTCCAAGTACTTCTACATGCCAGTGAAGGAGTGGTTATACATAAATCTAAGCATGACAGTTTTTTTTTTGGTGGACAGTTGCTAAAATCGATTTTGATTTATCATTATTGATATACCAATAGAAGCCATTGGACACCAAATGACAGCGTCTGCAAAGAATCAAAGAAAAAAGGAAAATACAAACTGTGTACATGTATCTGCATCTGTCTGTGACGTACAATCACCAGCATCTGGTTGTCGCGTACGTTGGTTGTGGTTGCAATTTCAATAATTTACACTTTTCATTCATGTATCTGTTTATTTTTCCTTCATTTATGTTTTTATTTTTGTCTATTTATCTGTTTGCATGCTTAAACATGAAATAAAGGAAAACGAATGGCTTTGGTTGATGCAATGTCAGGAAATGTAAATATATCATATCCCTAATATGCATTTATTCATATTATGTATATGTTTTAGTTATTCAATATATATTTATGCAAATTTATCCATTTTTTTTTCATTGATTCATTAAATATTCATCTATTCTATTTACTAATTTATTTACCGGTATGTATTTCTGTACGTTCATTCAGTCATGTATTTATTTATTTCTTAATTGTCTCTAATTAAATTATATAAATTTATCAAAGAAATTTGATGATTTCCAAAAAGATTGAATCATAGACATCTCTTTTTTTCTTCTTTTTGTTCAAAAGGGACGGATAAAGGGATTACCTTATTTCAACTGAATTTCAAATAGATAACATGTGTTACAAAACACAGCAGAAGAGCGTACACTTAATTATTGATTCAATTACATTATACCAGGGTATGTGAGTTAAAGTCTCACCTCCCTGATTATACTTTGCTTTCCTGCTTTTTTATTTGTACAGGGTTGCAAAATGGTTGGTAATTTGTATAGATCGAACCCTCCTATTCATGAAGTGCAAATTGTCCATTTATATAGCTAGCAACTGCCTTCAACTTTCTTCTCGGCCCCCTTTCCTCCTCGTTTATCCCCCCCCCCCCCCCCGACTTATATGCTGAGTTAACTATAACATTTGCACACATATTCCGGAAGCATTGTACATATTGTAATGTTACATCTCTTTATATTCATCATATCAAATGTTATCTTAGTTGTTTATCCTCTCATCATCTCATTCCGTTTAGCCTCTTTTGCACATCCTTGCATCTGTTCCCTTCTCTTTTCCAACATGTACATTAATTGTAATTGTCTTTGGTTATATATACTATAATTCCCAAACCATCAGTACACTTACAGGGAAATCTACCCATAACAGACAACTAATCTAAAAGAAATTAAGCAGAAAAAAAACATAGGAGTAGACTGGTAATAGTGTAAATGAAATCAGACCAAAAGAAGAAAGTAATGAATTTATGAAAGTTGTAATTCCTTTATATATATATATATATATATATATATAGGCCTACGTATGGGGACTTCAAAAGGGCTCAATATGTTAGGACACTATGACATATAGTGCCGTAAAACTTTCCCATTTATTTGGTTTAACACACAAAGTGACTACAATGTTGTGATCTTGTATATTCAAATATGGTGTTATTCTATTTCAATCTTTCGACATTCAGTTTGTTCTGCTTTCATACAAATGAACTTATTACAATTGGTTGTTAATATGTTCATAGACCATGTATTGTTTGAATATATATGCACAAATTTAGTTGAAAAAATAGAAGAAAAAAAAACAGGAAAAAACGGGTAATTACGTCAGGAGTAATTGATAAAATATCATTTCTTTTTAATATTTTTACAAGAATCAAAAGCTGCATACATAACCCATGGCTTATTCTATACAACAAACATAAATGATGTTGAGTACTGATATAAAACATCGTATTAGTACTGACATATACATTGTATTTCGATCAATCGATACAATATAATTTAATTCAATTATATATATTAATCCCTTATAAAAAAGTACCATGGTACCATGGTTCTTTGTCCAAATTACCATTCACCATGCGAACCATGGTAACCATGGAATCATCCATTGTTTAATACCACGGTTACCATGGTTTGAATGGTGGATGGTAATTTGGACAAAGGACCATGGTTACCATGGTACTTTTTTATAAGGAATTCTTAATCAAATCATTAATTTTAAATTTATAACTTCCACTTTAACTGTAAATTTTTTCACTACATGCATATACAGGTAGGCACTTGAAAACGTGGTGTTTATATGTTTTAATGTGTTATGAAAATTGAAAATGGTATACCGGTAACTCTATTTGAACACAAACATTTCCATAACAATTTACATCCTCTTGAATTATAAAGAAGACAAAAGTTTTGATGCATGGCTGATTGCCAACGAAACGGAGTGAAGTATTTTGTCAACTCTGTTTGTTGCTATGGCAGGCAGCCAGTGAAAATGAATTCGTTTAATCAAATTATGGAAGTGCAAGCATTACTTTCAACTAACAGAACTTTGTTAATCCTGGCTAATTTTTCCTGATTGAGGTGTCATATCAAAGGGCAGAAGATGAGCTTTCTAGAAATGTGATTTTCAGTTTGAAATTCAGATACCGCCCGCCAAATGACTTTGTGGTACCCTCACTTCAAATTGTTTTTAATCACTCATGCAAGAAATATTCTTCATATGAGTTGCATCAAATGAAAGAGCAGGATCGCGATCTAAGCATTACAAATACATGTATGTGTCATTTATTAATTATAATTGTGATTAAGTTATGATAAAACATCAATAATTCTTTTGTCTGGGACGCACTGTATAAAAGATTTAAAATTAGCAAATTGTTATACAAAGCTTTCCTCTTCAAACATCATACATATACAATTACATTTTCATGATAAGCATAAGACAAACAAAATAAAAAATCCATCTCTGAGTAAGTGTGATAAGTTCAAAAGTCATCACTAGAACTGCTATTTCTGTCCCGATCTTGAATCATCAGACGGTTGTTTGACTCGACTACCGATGCTCGGGCATCAAGAACATCCACACAATCATCGCGCTTCATCTGCTTCAGAATGTGCCTCAGATCCTCGAGGCTGCAAATCTTCTTCTGTTTCTCCGCCAGGTCAATCAGATCTGATGTTGGGTCTGGCTTGCGGGTCAGACTAGCGATGTAGTCATCCAATCGCAATTCACTAGCAAGTCCCGTCCAGTCGTCATGAGTAACACGGGGACCGTTCAATAGTTTACTCAGCTCATGCCGTACCGCAAGGGGGATGATCATTGGGTGAGGCGGCACAAGATCATGTCTACCTGTAACATACATGTTAAAAACATTCCCATGTATGTTCACCGAGGAGCTTGGACCAGCTGGCAGATCATTGATTTGCGGGAGCATCCGTTCAACCTCTGAAGCAACCTGTGCCGCTGTTAGAGGCTGTGTTCCGAGGTCAGAGGTCACTAGGGGTGCAATGGATCCTTCTGTTGGCAAGGTGGAGCTAGTACCTTGAAGAAAAATAAAGTAAAATTAAAGATGGTTGTATTAGAACATAGAATACATGGATATATATATAAGGGCTATTCAACCAGATAATACTAATGTAATGAAAGCAATGTATTACGTATGCGTATCAGACAATTACCCCCTGGACAAACGCCCCCCAGAAAATTATCCCCCAGAAAACAACCCCCAAGGACAACCCCCCCCCCCCCCCCCCCCAAGGACAAGTAACTCCCAGAAAATCCCCCCCCCCCTGGACAATTACGGTACCCCCAACCCTGACAATAACCCCTAGGATGTTTACCCCCCCCCCTTCCCAGGACAACCAAGGACAACCACCCCTGAAGGACAATTCCCCCCCCCCCCACCCCCTGAAACTAACCCCTAGGACAATTAACCCCTTATACCAATACTTATGTGCTACACAAGCAAAATTTTCTGATCGCTTTCAGTTTCTTTCACACTGCATTAGCATTACCAAAACTAATCTTGATCATATGTAATTTAACTTACCCACTGTTGATCCTTTTTTTCCCTTGCTGATGCTAACATCAATGGTCCTCTTTAGCTTGTCCTCTAGATAGGGATCATTGATGCATGCATTTTCCAAACTCTGAAGCGGTGATGGAAGATGTCTCTCCTCGCAGCATCGGATTGAAATCACCCGGCCATTCAAACTCCCGCCCACCGTTGACTGAAATGCCATCCCCATCGTCATGGTCTGATACGGATCGTTCTTCTCGCAATCTTCCTTCGTGAGTATAAGGACCACGTGGGAACAGGTCTTTAGGGCGTCCTCTATACTGGTCATTTTCGGGACACCGAGTCTGCAGTCGTTAGCAGTCATCATCGTCCAGCCATTCCTGCGTATGATATCCTTCACCTTATGAACATTAACCGTTTCTTGACTAAACTTAAGGTAGATGTCATAGAACTTTGGTTGTCCTTGAAAGGACCCACTGGTTGAACTGTCGCTTGCTTGGTAAGGTGGAGTGCTTCTTTGTTGTGACTCTACTGTTCTTCTTGCATCATCATTCCATCGCAAAGAGCTATTCGTTCTGGGATCTACAGAACCTGGACAAAAAAAAAAAAAGATGATAACTTTTTCAAAATTATTTTATTCACCTGGTAAGAATAACTTTATTTCAATAGGCAGAATGTGATAGGCGTATGTAACAGGTTATTAGGTAGAATCCCTAATGTATGCATTTTGCATTTAACCTTCTGACTATTTCAAAAATTGTAATGAGGCACTCAACAAAGAAATTTTATTGCACTACATAAATGGTCTATTCAGACTCTATAATCCACAACATGAAATCAACGATTCATTCACATCTTCTAAAATTGTTGCAGTGCTTTTAAAACCTGATATGAAACCCAATCGCAGCACTAACCCCAACCCTATATCTTTGATAAAATATAGGCCGGAGAAATTGTCGCCGGAATATGTGTAGGAGGACCATACTCACGAAGGATAGAAAATGCAGCGTCTGTTTCTGAATTGTTCATAGAGGATAGATTGTCTTGGCTGCTAGATTCAGCCTGATGTTGCTTTTGCTGATCAAGTTTTCTCCGATAATCTTTCTGTTCTTGTTCCTGTTTCTTCATAGCTAAAATGATAGTCATGGGATGAAGAGAGAGAGAAAAAAAAGTGAAAATCTGGGATCCACCTAGAAGACAACATAAAGCATATACAATGGAATATATAAATAACTTAGAAAATGTATCAAAAAATTATCAACCTAAGCCTAAGAGTTTATATGAATTCGTTTTCTATGACATATCCCAAACGCATCTACCTATTGAAAAAATTCTACATTAATACAGAAGAACATTAATCATGGCCTAATCTGTTTCAATTTCCATATTCTGAAGTTTTGAAAAAAATAAAGTTTCCTAAACTGAGCAAAACTTTGTCTTCATTTGCAAGTATTTTGCTTGCAGCATGCAGGCTCCTAGGAAAATAAATAAACTGTAGCCTAGCTCACACAAATATATAGATATTGGTATATATATATATATATATATATGACATTTAATAAGAATACTCCAAAGACAAAATCAAATACATTAGCAAAGTTTGTTTCACATTTCTGTGACTTGTTGCCCATAAAATTCCTTACAGTGTTTAGTTGTGCGCAAACAAAAAGAATGTTTAATTCCTCCCCAGCACTTTTTTGAGGTGTTTAACCAAGTTGTAGGTGAATGAGAAATAATAATAATCTGGATTTATATCTGTAGCGCTTAATACAGAATACCGTCTCTAAGTGGTTTACAGATACTATTTTCCCGGTCTTCGGATTCATTTACGCACAATATGCACCGATTTCACTCCTAGGAATATTCTTACCATCTGGTCACCGTGAGGGCATATGGCAAATATTTACACAAATGCTTTTGCAATCCTACCGGGTCCCATTTCTCTCCTGGGTATGGAGTGGCAAATGTAGATTAATGACTTGCCAAAGGACATTAGTTTCGTGTCGGGGATCGAACCGACGACCTTTGAATTTCAAGTCAAGTGCTTAAGCCACTCAACTACAACACCTACGACAAGCCTTTTCCTTACCAATGAGCAGAACTGTGTCTCTTAGATTGAGCAGCCTGGCTGATGTCATGGCACTATGCATGCTGCTCATCTGGTTTTCAGGTTGAACTGTTGCCTTCCAAGCAGTCAGCAAGTCAACTGTTCCTCTGGTCGTGACTGAGCCTGTCATCCGATTGGTGGTGTGGCACTGGTTGATTTGACCTCGGTTACGACCCAAGGCACGTGCTAAGGACTCCATCTGCTCATCAGTTTCAAGGTTGTCGGCTATCTCTTTGAGGATAGAGTCTGTAAGGCCAACCGCTGGTCTGTAAGGGATTGAGAGGCAACGAATAATGATGGAGATCGAATATAAACATCAATTTTACTATATGGCTCAAAATACATGCATTGATTCATGTGGACATCGGTTTCCAGATTGGTGGCTTTCTCTTTTTAAAGGACCGAGTCTGTAAGGCCAATCCCTTGTGGATCAAGAACAATACAAGATTGGCCATGATAGGAAAGAGACAAACACATTATGGTCTAATAATCATTTAATCAGAAGTAATTATACAAAATTACAAATCAAATGATTTAGACCTCCAAGAAATACAAATAAGGAGACAATGTCATCTGTTTGGAGCCAGAAGGGCATTGTATAACACAGAGTTAACACCTTCTTTTGCCCAAAACAGATGAGTTGTAAGTTTCATACTTACATTGGAATGGCCCTGTTCCTTTCAGGTACTGTTACAGCTGGTTGACTCGAGTAGGGTGGTTCTGAAAAACAAATAATGAAAGGCAATAAGTTGAACAAGAGGGTTAAAATGTTACTTTGATAATCTGCAATATTGTCTTTGTTTCATGAACCTACATGTAGAGCTCAATTTCAATCTAATAATTTGATTTCGGAGAAGTAAAATATCAAAGGACCTGCAACTCCCTACAAACTATCTCAGAGACTGAAATAATTGGAAATCTTTCAGTTATTGGATTTCTATACAATTTAACTATTTCATTTCTTTCCTTTTCCCCTTCTGATGAATTAATTAAATGAGTTTTTCACCTCAAAAAAGGAGCTGACTTGGATAGATCTTTGGCCTCTGCTCTACGTTCTTCCTTTCTCTGGCCGGTCCCATAGTAACACAATTCCGGACCACGTTTCATAAAACTTCTTATCAATAACAGCTGTCACAGATATCTATGACAAATGTGCTCACAGCCATCAACTGCCAGAATTTCAGTAGCTTATGACAGTTATCGTATCTAATTGTTATTGATGATAGCGAGCTTTATGGAACAAGACCCATGATCCAATATCTTGTACTCACCTGGAAGCAATACATTTGATGCTTTGATCCCCAATGAAGAGAAGATCGCTCCGAGTCTGCTCCTCCTCGTTCTCCAGCTTTCTCCTGATGCAGCAACCATCCAGCTCATCAAAATGGCAACAGTGCTTCTGCGGTAGTCATTGTTCTTTGAGTCAAGGATCTCCTCCAATCTTCCTAGCCCGTGACCAAGTTTGATACCTAAGCTGTGATAATCGGCAGAAGGAACATTGCCTGCTATATTAAGTAGCTCTTCATCAGTGATTGGTGTATCCATCTTGTCTTGAAAAAGCCTGCAATTGAAATTGTGTAAAATCAGATTTCCAATTAATCAGTTTCACAAGAAATATCTAAGAAATGTTAAAGTATCAAATTAGGCCCCTTGCCACCATGCACAAAACCTCTCCGACACGAGGCAGATGTGCATGCACAGCTGGTTTGGGAGACTCCCCTACTTCATGACACTCGACAGACTTCTCCCATATTGGAGATTTAGATTACAATAGAAAAAAAAAACATCAACAAGGCACTCTCCCCTGTAGTAAATGTTTGCCTCTCATTCTAAAAAGACAAAACAAATTTCAAAATCAAACTACTACTCAACCTGCCTCCATGATCGGAGTCCATCACTCCGTATTCGCATCAGACTGATTTTCCATAGGCCTAGGCTAGCTACTAGTATCTGTTCAATTCGGCATATAATTAATTATTCTGTCATTTTTGTAAATTCAATCTTATTTCTGTTCCTAATTTGCTTACCGTACTGAAGTAGACCAACATTGCTGTCTCTTTCGTTCGTTAGCGTCTGAATCTGATGTGGGTATATATTATACGGTCGGATACTAGACGAAATTCTGGTCCAACAACGCCGAGTTCGAATGTCTTTTTTCAAAGAAATTTATAAATTTGCTTTTACTTTTTATTCAGGGAATGTATCTATTTATTTCTAAAAAATGTATTTTGTGTGCGTTCTATTTTTTAAATCGTATTATTTAAATCGGTACGTAGATCTACTTGTCAGTTGAGTTTAGCTGGCTGAAATCATGTTTGATTTTCTCTCAAGATATCTCTGTATAGAGACTAGTCATCGTCTGTTTCTACAATTATCCAATCAGAGAGCACTACCACAAACGTAATGGGGATTCCCCGATGATCTTGGCTGCATTCTATTCACCCCGTACGTTGTGAACAAATAAAAAGAGAGCTTCAGTTCAGATTTCGAGTAATGATAGAGATCAAGAAAATCAGAAGTTTTCGTGTTTGCCCCTGGTGCTAAAATTGATACTTGATACGCATTGGTGTTAGTTTATTATATACACTGAATTAAAACAAAACAAAACAAAAGTCGATCAAATTTTGCTCGATCTATAGACCTCTACACCAGTTTAGACCCCTATACTAGCTCTCGATCGCGCCTATATACAGGTTTTGGCAGGGGGAATGGGGGGGGGGGGGGGGGGGGGGTATATATATTATACAAGATTGGGTTAAGCAATTAAATAATTAACATACGAGCAGCGCGATTGCTATTTTCTTAGATCGACTGACTATACATGCGAAGCTGCTTTGCTTTCACTTGCCATGCATGATTGCATTACGTACATTCTTGGTTGGTTCCGTACGATGTTCGCATTATATTATAGGATCGTGCAGTAGGGGATCTCCCTTTTTGTCATTTGGTAATGTAGTAGTAGGGCCTACGCGTGCGCATGCTAAAAACTGCAAGCCTGTAAACGCACGTAGCTATCGTAGACTATAATTCATGCCACTGAACTTTGACGAGCTTATAATTTTACGATCTGATTTTATTTGGCTTTATGACAACGTGTGTGAGACTATAGCTGCTTGCATATTATATTGGAAGGATCCACGACCTTAAGCTTAACGGTGAGTACAATATGAAAATCTCATACGCTCTTCTTATAGTTGACTAGGGCAGCCGACTATAGACCCTAGACCTCTATATTATATAAACGTGTCCTTGGCGCACTTGCCAGATCTCAATGCATTCACTGCCTGCCCCTAGCTGGGCCTGGCCTGGGTCTGCATCTGGCTAGCTGCTAGCTGTAAGTGTGAGTGTGAGTGTGACTGTGAGCAGAGTTGTGACGATGAAATGAATGACAGAGATGGCTCGCCCGGCCTACCAATTACTGCCAATCAATAATATGCTGCTATTATTTTAAGTGTCATCATCATCAATTGTCATGTATCATTGAACAACAAATCAGCTAAAATGTAATCAGTTTGTTTATTTATTGTCACCCGACCGCTAAGAAGGCATGGGTTTACTTGTAAGTATTAAAGCAACTAGGTTGGGGATCGATGGTTTAAAGTCGTCTCTCAGGAACTTGGTAACAAGGATTAATACCTTGCCAAATGAAGTGAATTAGTAGCGCATTGACTTGGTTTTGAACCCGGGACCTCTTGGTCACGAAACCAGAGCTCTACTAATGAGCTATTGAGCCTCCTTGAACAGGGGAAAGTATCCCAGAAATGAGGAAATGTACAAATATGCAAGTTTCACCAGACTTGGTACATCAGCTGATTCTTACGAGTACAGCTTCTTTCCTTGCACCATGAAAGATTGGGATGAGCTTCCTACAAATATCATTGAGCTGCCCACATGGAAGCAGATCAAGGGAGCAACCAGCTGCGAGTATAGTCACAGTATCATCATTTGTACTTGCACCATAAACATGTACCGGTATAATTAGGCACAAATTCGCACAAGTTGTCCACCGTCGGCAGACGATCACCCTTGTCCAGATGCTCAACAGGCTTTGACAAGTAGCAGAATAGAAGTAGAAGTACCGGTATCTTAAACAAATTGTGTTCTGGCATTTCAATGTTTATTATTCTGATGCTCTCCCTTTCTCTGAATTTCTAGGTAGCGTAACCCAAAGTCTGCAGGATGGCTTCTAAAGCAAGGTCCAAAGTCCTGCAGGACGATCGGCTCATCTACCAACTCACCGAGAGCATAGACTCCGTCAAACACTACTTCCCCTTAGGTCGCGACCTTCTCGGCTCCCAGGCAGCCGTCTCAAATATCATCGGAAGAACAGAGCCGGATTTTCAGGAGATCGTTTTCAAGTGTTTGTATACATGGAGAAACGCGAACGGAAGAGGAGCAGGCGCCAAGCTTGTGGACATATTCAGAGAGGTGGAGTTGGATAAAGTAGCCGCTTCTTTAGAGCGAGGTCAGAAACAATTATTAATTAAAGAGGAAGTTGCGTTGAGGCCGGGTGATTACATTGTGAAAGAAATTGGAGCAGTAGGTCATCTCTGTTCTAATGTATGTAATGTACCGCACATACTCATTAGACAGGACTTTGCTTAGTAAAAAACATGTACTGGTACATATTTTCTTAGCAGTCAGGTTACCGTAAATCTCTGTGTATAAGATGCACTCCTATTTTGGGGGCCCGACTCCGTAGCCAGCGAGCCAGTTCCGAGTTCAAAAGCCCACACAGGAAAGGACCTTCATTTTACTGCGAGGTGCAATTGGAGGCGCAAATTTTGCTTGTAAAGTTGTAAACTTGTCACAAATAATAATAACAATGAAGTTATCAGAATAATGAAATTGTCACAAATAATAGTAACAATGAAGTTATCACAATAATGAACATTTAGTAACAATGAAGTTATCAGAATAATGAACATTCAGTAATAATGAAGTTATCAGAATAATGAACATTTCAAAAGAAAATTGTGTACCGGCCCATGTATAAGACGCACACCCGACTTTCAATTTTTCGGTAATCAGTAATCAACCATTTCTCCTCTTCATCTCAAACCTTCTCTCCAGAACTCCAAAGAAGGTCAAACTGCCTGAGTGAGGATGTCTACCTGCAATCCCTGGCCTCAAAGCTAGACTGTGCAGCGGTCTATAGGAAGCTTGGACTGCCTCTCCTGGAGAATAACTCGGTCAAGTTCTCTAACCTGATTGGTCCCGTCAATATCCCATTTGCACAGTACCAAGATGCTCTCTTCCATGTAAGACAGCGGGGCATTTCTCTTGCAATTGATTTTCATTTCAAATAACATCAATACCACTTTAATACAAACACTGCATACATAGAACCAAGATGCTCTCTCCCATCTAAGACAACAATGGATCTCTCTATTTTTTTTCCTCTTTTGTCTTGGTTGCAAAACATGAAGAATAGTATCACCAAACATCTTACAAAAAGTGCTTTGACAGCAGACTCTTATTGAGAGCTCTGGGCCCCATTTCACAAAACTTGTCATCAGTGAAAAATGACAGTTTTTGTTTATAAGCTATGGAAATCCTTGCTTCTGATCGGTTATCAGCAAATTTGTCACTGACTTTTGTCATTTGTCATTGAAAAAAGGCTTTGTGAAATGGGCCCCTGATGGGCCAACCAATGAAGTGGTTCACTGCATCTCAGAATGACTGAATTAATGATTATGAAACAACAATGGCAAGGAGAGAGTTCCATAGACAGACAGCTGAGGAGTTGGAATGTCACTTCTGTCTAGGGTACATGTTTTAATAAGAACCATTAGAACCAATGACCTCTTCAGGTGTAAGCAGATAATTGTTGACAGCTTGCAAGTTTGCAGTCTCCTATTTCCTATGTACATAGTTGCGATTGATATCAATTGCAAATAAGTTGTGATTAATATCAACTCTTTGTAAGACGGGGCCCAAGTCACACCAGCAGTCCCTGTAAGGAGACAGAGTCACATATTGGCCAATCAAATTGGTTCGCTGCAGCTCAGATGATGTCATGAATATCTAAACGGACAATATTTTCCATTTCTTTCTTTTCTAGGTATTAATAAGATGGAGAAATCAAGCGGGCTCAAGTATAGCATCCATGGAAGACCTCAAGCAAGCCTTCCTTCGACATGGCCTGATTGATACTGCTCAAAAGCTTCATCGGTTGGAATATGGATCAAATGCCAGTAAGTGATATGAAAATGAAATATGTGAATCTAGGGGTCACAGCTAGGGTGTCAGGGGTTTTTGTCCCCCCACCCTCAACCATCTGTTTAGCTCTTTTTATTGCTTCTCATAGATTTGTTTAAATTTGTCTCTGCCCCTCTTTTGCTTTAGCCTCACAACCAATATAATATTCTCAGATTTTGGGGTTGTCATAGATGATTTATTGAAAACTGGAAATTGTCCCCTTCCTCTTAGAAATCCTGGATCCTTACAAAATATGCTCACACCACCAAAAGCAGCTCTCTAGTAAAAATCAAGGTAGACTGTAATTTTTTGTTTTTAACAGATCACTATTCCGATCAAGTCACTGATCAATTTTCTGTATATATAGCAATGTACTAGCTCTTTAGTAATGAGTGTAAATTCTGATGATTTTGCACTACTCTTTGTTGGATAAGTTCAATAAGAATACACAACATTACAAGCATCAAAATCATGGTTCTTTTCATTCTCAGAAGAAAACAAACCCTCTTATAATCATACCTTACCAGATACCATATTAGCTCCTCAGTGGAGAGCTAGAGCAATGTAGACATAGGTGCATAGGGACATAAGTGCCGTGCCAGGGGCTCGAACCTGTGACCCAGTTACGTGATACAGTCAAATCTGCTTTAGTGACCACATGTGTTGTCGCCCTTGAAAATGGTTTCTCATTGAAACGTGTGCTAAAGGAACCTGTCTACAAAGACCACTTTTTGTGTTTTCCTTGGGTGGTTGCTATCAGGGGCGGATCCAGGATTTCTCAGGGGAGGGGGCCCAATTTTTTTATTTTTTTTTTGGCTCCCGAAAATTTGAAAATCGCGCCGGCCAAAAAGTCGCTCAGTGTCGGGGGGGGGGGGGGGGGGGGGGGGGGGAATGAGCATTTTTTTTTTTGGGCCCTCAAAAATTTGCCCCCCCCCCCCCCCCTTGAGCGCCAGGGGAGCCCTATCCCCCAAAAACTAAAAATCACGTGTTTTTACAAGATTTTTTTCCGGGGGGGGGGGGCCCCCCCCCCTCCCCTCCTGGATCCGCTACTGGTCGCTATAGACAGGTTTGACTGTAGCCTACTAACATGTATCTTTCTTTCTATTATACTTTATTTGAGGTCCTATTGATATACCTAGCAGAAGTGAGGACATGGACACCGACGGTCCTCCAAGAAATAGACCCCTCTCTCAACAAGAGTTCTTCGACATTTATCTATTAGCGTCATCCAAGGAAACAGCGTATTTTTCTAAGATGAAGAATCTCATTCGAAGGAACATGTGGAGAATGACGACTCCTTTTGAGAGTAAACTTGGTGTACCGGTTTTAGAAAGCATTGAGAAGGCCGTCTTAAACTGTTCCCACGTGGTGTATCTTATCACGAAAGAGGATTGTGAACGCAAAGATGCAAGTCACACCATGACGATTGAGATGGCGTTCCAGTCTCTCACAGACAATGGCTTAGGAGGCAGGATTATTCCTGTGTTCTGTTGTGATATGTCTTTCGTCCCGCTTAAACTGAGGAGCTTGACGGGAGTAAACATTCGCAGCGAAGAGCTCGAAGAAAGATTGCGGAAGACTATTGATGTGAGCATCAGGGAGGATAGAGAAGAGGAGTATCGCTCAGTTTCAGGTGAGTTTGATCGCAGTGCTCTCTCGTTTGTGGAGGTGTTAGTGTTGCGGTGTAGCGGTTCCCTTTCACGTGACTCTCATTCCAAGGGCTGAGGCTTCCAATCTCAGCCTGGTACTAACATCATTTGGCAAGACACTTATCCAAATTTGCCCTTCTCCAACCAGGTACCTGGCGATTGCTGGGGCAGTAGTAATTTCAGGGCAGTATGGATGATGCTGATAGGGCTTTTCTGGGTAGAAAGAGTTATTTTAAATATTATTGTACGCCTTCAACTATATTCACAAGACTGACACGGTCAATGCTTGGTGATGCTGGTTGGCTTTCTATAATATTATGTCTTGTGTACCTCAGTCAGCCTTATCAGTATAATGTACATACTGTACTCGAGGGCCCTGAAATCATACTTTTCTGAAAGGTGCTCGGACATTATTTGCTCTGGTGAAAATTCTCTCAAAGATATCATTAGGGTAAAGTTTAGAATTTCAAATGGATTTTAGGTCAGGTGTAGGGTTAGGGTTGGGGTAAGACGTGGTGCTTGGACTAGAGTTAAGTTTAACATTTTATAAGTGTAGGAGCACATGTCGCACAACTCTTCTGAAAGTGACCAGTGGGTTGGCTAGACCCGCTCGGCCCCATGTTATAAAGAGTTGTGATTGATCCGAAATGAATTGCAAGTCCTTTAATCAAATGCACGTTTACAGTCTCCTATCTCTCATGTACAGAACACCACAATAAATTGCGATTACTCACAACCGGTCCCTTTATAAGACTGGGCCCAGAAATTTGATAAAGGAAGCTGTCTGACAGCAGAGTCCATGCGTATATTAATCCAGAGTTTTGGGGCAACATACCGGTAATGTTTATTTTTTTCACTGGTAATTTATTCACTCTCTTCTGTCTTTTTTTCTCTCCATCCCACATTCCACAGAACTGAGCACCCAAGCCAATGATGATGAACCACTGCCTTTGATCTCATCTAGTATGGCAACAGGTCAATGAATAGGACAAGAATGGATTAACTACATCTCTTCTTTTTCTCACTCTCCGACTCTTACCCCCTTTCTCTCCGACCCCCCCCCCCCCCCTTCTGTCTCTGTGACTATTTCCCTCTCTGTCTGTCTCTGTGACTATTTCCCTTTCTGTCTGTCTCTGTGACTATGTCCCTCCCTGTATGTCTCTGCATGTGACTATTCTCCCCTCTGTCTATGTGACTATTTCCCTGTCTATGTGACTTTTTCCTGCTCTGTATGTCTCCGCATGTGACTATTCTCCCCTCTGTCTATGTGACTATTTCCCTGTCTGACTATGTGACTTTTTCCTGCTCTGTTTGTCTCTGTTTGTGACTATTCTCCCCTCTGTCTGTCTATGTGACTATTTCCTTTATGTCCATCTTTGTGACTATTTCCCTCTAGGTCTGTCTCTGTGACTATTTCCCTCTCTGTCTGTCTCTGTGACTATTTCCTCTCTGTCTGTCTCTGAGATTATTTCTCCTGGCTATGTGACTATTTCCCTCTCGATCTGTCTCTGTGACTCTTTCCCTCTATGTCCGTCTTTGTGACTATTTTCCTCTCTGTCTGTCTCTGTGACTATTTCCCTGTCTGTCTGTCTCTCTGACACTCCCCCACCCACCTCCTCTCTCTCTCTCTCTCTCTCTCTCTCTATCTGTACCCGCCCTCTTTCTTTTTCTCTCTCTCCTCTCTCTGATGCAATTGCTTCATAAAAAAATTGGATGCGATCAGCGATTATGTAACACATGAGAATTGGTGTATACCAGGAGCGTTTGGACTGATCTAAATGATGTAATACACAAACATGAGGCATGTACAGGTGTTATGGTCTAGTGGATACGTCACCAGACTGTGGATCACATGGTTAGCAGTTAAGTCCCTCCGCGATAACAATGCCCTTTTAAATAGCAAGACATAAAGCTTTATCTGCCATTCTCCACCCAGGTGAAGTAAATGGATATCCGATAGGAAGAAATTGCTTGAATGCTTTAGCGCCTTATAATGGCAGCTCGGCTACAGCCAGGATTATAATATACCTTGTTTTAAGCGCAGTAGAGTATATTTATATAGTAGCTGTGCCATTTAAATCGACCTATTACCGGTATTAGTATTATTACTACATGTATTATCATAGTTTGGTTACTTCAGCTAATTCTTGTCATATATTTTGAATATGAGGGCATTTGAACCATGGTATTCTTCTATCCTAACATAAATATAATAATATATGAATGAAGACACATGAAACTACATCTCCAATATGCCTCTGCCTAAAGATCATGGCTTGAATAATTCTTAGAATATTCCAATGAGAACAAAAGCCTATACTTACATTTCAATTCATCTTTATGACCTTTGACTTTAAACCTGGCTGTCCCCAAATTTGACCACTTTCCTCCCTACAGGATTTTGTGTTATAAGTTCACAGCTATATAATCCTAAGTAAAATAGTCATTGATTTGGTCATAACAAGGTTACAAAACCGTCTACTTCAGTTATTAAAAGTGATTAGCTGACCTTTGATCTTGTTTACCCAAATCTAATCTATTTATATCACTATGGTGATGCACACTGGCATTGACAAGTTTGATGTTCGATAGTTCATGGCTCAAATCGTTCTAGACCTAAATTGCAATAACAGGGCTAAAACCTTGAGATTTACTGGAAATTGACCTCTGTGACCTTGGGCCTATACTTGCCCTAAAATCTGATCACTTTGTCTACCTAAGGTGATACACCATCATCCGGTTTAAAGCTCATACCTCTAGTATTGAGATATCCTGATAACAAAGCCAATACCTGCCATTTGTAAGTTCATAAATTGACCTCTATGACCTTTGACGTACTTACTGCAAAATCTAATCAGATCATCTCCAAATTCAGGATTGTTTTGAAAGTTATTTCAGATTTATATCACTGAGCCAATTCTTGCAGCTTTTATAATCGTTTTTCTTTTTTTCTCTACAATGTTGCCAAATAACCATGTACACTGTAAATGTGTAAAATGGTGATTGTCTTGCATAATTGATTGAGGTACATGAGAAAGATTGTTTTTAATGCTTCAATTATAGATTTCATTCATTTATCATTTTTATTATGTGCTCAAGTCATTACAAAAATAAAACTGCATTTCATCAATACTTTGTCAGCCTCGTAGAGAAGGCCTATAAAAATGTAATTATTTATTGAATGATGATTTAAAAATAAACATGCATTCATCTTCAATTGGCATTATCTTGTCTGCTTATTTATCAAGTTAACTCCAGTTTAATCTTTTTTCGATCCCCCGAGAGCTGGGTGCTTCAAGATGGGTTTAAACAATCATGTAATACCTCCGTCACACGGTCACACCGATGAAACCTACAGCAGATTATGGCAAGAAATGTCTTTTTTTTTTAAAGAATCATAAGCATAAAGTGGAGCTGGAATTCCCCTCAATTATTCTTGATATAAATAGTATTTCAATTGAAAGACCCTATCTAAAGGAAAGCTGCATGAACATAGAATAAAGATATAAAAGGAAAAATAATGTGTTCCCTTTCAGTATTGCACAAAGGCAAATTAAAACCTCATTTTCCACACCTCTCAAAATTACTGGTCAACAGGGGTCAAATTTGCCACAGTTACGGTTACAACATTACATGTGAACCTGATTGGCCGAGATGAGGCGATGAGCCGTGCAAAGTCACTATTTTTCACCTTTCCCAGGGCTCAATCTTCTCTTTATGTCCATGGTAAGAAATTACAATGTAAAGCAACACCTATGACACAATATCCTAAGAAATACCCCCTCAATAGTCGACCTTTCCAGTCTAAATGTTTTCTCCACATGATATCCAAAGGAATTAATTCTTGGACTGATCCATTGAGTTCAGGTGAGGGTGTGTCAACACCATTTGGTTTGAGGGACGACTGAATGATGTGTGATGCAATCCAAATGGGGACCGGAGAACTGGAGAAGAGAAATCTTGTGACGACCTGTGTGGAATGAGATGAGGAAGAAACGATGATGTGAAAGCGATAACTCATTAATCTATATTTGCCAGTCTTTGCCCAGGAGAAGTAAATGGGTACCCAGTAAGAAGACATTTCTTGAATGCTTTAGCGCCTTTTAATGGCAACTCGGCTACAGCTGGGGTAATAAGATGATGATTTGTAGAGTATATCATATTCATATAGTACCTTTGCTATAAAAAGTCCATACTATTATTAATTTATTGTTACTTTCAACTAATAAAAAAAAACACTCGTTTTCAGAAAATGGCCCTTTTTTATACTGACCTGCACATGCATACAACAGACTCCAAAGACGAGAAGCACAAGAAGGTGAACCAAATAAACAAATACACCAGAACTGTAGAAGCCCTCTGATTGGCTGATTGGGTCATCTGTTTTCTTAACGTCTTTTCTGATTGGCTGGAGTAACCCGAGCACTTTCACATGATCCCACTTCAAGCTGCAGTAATCCTGCACACCGTAGAGACAGAGGATGATTACGGGCAAGGCCAGAAAGAAATTTGGAAGTTGTTTGAACTCATAGTAGTTCAGCAATCCTACGTTCCAATGTTCTGCCTGCACCTCGGAGTAAGGGATCACAAACGACTTGCTACACCAGAGCGGGACATCATCTGTTGTTTGCAAGACACTTGTTCTATTATTAGCTCTTTTGAATAAGATCTCCATACCATGTTCTAAAATCTTTTGAAAGGAGATCACCTTTTCTTTGTTACAGATGCGCAAGTAGCAGTAGATCTGATACAAGGCGCAGGGAAAGAGAATGATGGCTGCCGAATAAAACGTTCTTGTCACACCAACGACGATGATTCTGCAGACTTTCTTCAAGGTGGAGAGGTTGATTGGTGAACGCATTTTAGCAAAGACAAAGATTGAAAGTTGGACAGTGTGGTATGCGACAAAGCCGATGGAAACTATCCCATTAGATCTTGCACATGTACCTAATCCAAATGCGATTGTGGATATCAGGTAGCGTCTTTTCTCCAAGAACAGCATCCCGCTTAAGCTAAGCAACAAAAATGAGGCTTCGGTGTACATTGCAGTCATGAAGATACTTGCAGGGTTGAAGCAGTAAAGGATCCAGGCTATATCTGCTATCCGTTGGTCCTTGCATACCCTCTTGGTTAACTCGTACAGCACAACCGCAGCCAGGGTGAACATGAGCACGTTCAGGAGCCATCCTGCGACCAGAAGGACGCTCCGGAGCTGCATCACCATCTGAAGAGGGGAGAAGAGCGTGTCTGCAAGCGCTCGGACGAGACCGGGGTAAAGCGGGAAGAACGCCATCATGCGGTCCGTGGTGTAGCCATGTTCAGCGATGTGAAGGAAGTGCGCCCCATCCCACTTGCAGAAGCCACCGAGGAGTAGGTCAATGCAGAGGTCACCAAACCCTGGGTTCTGCATAGGATCTTGATGGAAGGCATCGGCGTGGTGATCAGGTATCAGGTTATTCAACAGGATCTAAGTAGTGAAAAGGAAAAAAAACAATCAAGTATGGACTATTCTTATTCATTTCAACTGAATCAAAATTAAGAACATGTAGACTATGTCTAAATGTTTGAAAAACTGTAACACTCATTTTTCGATCATAAAACTAGTCATCCCTGACAGCTTCAGTCTAGATCGCTCAAGCAAAACATAGAGAGTCAATGCTAATGCGTATTGACATCTAGCACTGCATACTTGCTGTGAGACAGGTATTATTAGACCTATACACAAATATGCACACCACACAATATTGCATAGACTGCACACAATCATGCCGATGCGGCTGTAGTGTAAGCAAAGTTTGACAGTAGACTTGCAATTTGAATTTTTCAATTATTCTTTTTAACATCAGTAAGTTGAAAAATGTATTTTACTGCTATTTAGGTGTCATCAATTGTCACTAAAGTACCGATTTTGAGTTTTGTACAGTGGTGTTTGAAATGTTGAGAATCAAAAGCACAGCTTTTACTACACAGCCAGGATAGTGATGCTCCTATCTACAGGTATGCATGACACTCACCAGGAATAATCTTGTTGCACACCAATAGTTAAATTAAATTTCTTTGTAGACTTCTAGACCTTTTGGACTGCTGCAGATCCCTGCATTTTTCAGTGATGATTAGGTTATCATGGTAATATTAATAAGATAATAACATAAACTAATAAGAACTCCAAACATGACAATTTCAATCAAGAAATTGGGCCGTATGCATAAAAAGTAGCAATTGCTTGCAAGCAATTGCTTCAAGCACAAGCAATTGCTTGTCAAGCAAAAGATCAAGCTCAAGCAATTGCTTAAATCTGTATGCATAACATTTTGCTTGTGCTCAAACCTTTTGCTTGCCTCCAGCAAGCAATTGCTTACGATCTCAACAATAGCGACGTCACGCCGGTGCGAACATCATTCATGGGAGAACAAAGGCGGGTTTCGCATACTAGTAGTGTATTCAAATGTCATGCGTGTGGGGTAGCCTTTCCTGACACCGTTGTCAGACATCCTCCCCGTTTTTCATCATGTTCAGGTATGAACCTGTGTGCTAACCACTCAACGTTCTCCTTGTCGAAACGGAATAGTTTCCGATAGGTCTCGGGAGCAATTTCTTCTCGATTTATTCTACTCCTGTACAACTTTGGTTTTTCTCTAACGAGCATAAACATGATGCTTAACCGCGAACGTCCCGATTAAGCAAGAGCTCAAGCTGCTATGACGGAGCTTGAAAAAACGTAAGCAATTTAGATCTAAGTTATATATTAAGAACAAGCAAAAGGTTCGTTTTATGCATACGTTTTTAAGCAATTGCTTGATCTTTAAGCAATTGCTTGCGGACATCAAGCAATTGCTTGTGCTTGCTAGCAAAAGCATTTGCTTGCAAGCAATTGCTTATGTTTATGCATACGGATTCAAGTAAAAGGCTAGCACAAGCAATTGCTACTTTTTATGCATACGGCCCACTGTCTAGACTAGATCTAGGACAACACAAAAATGAACGAATGGGGCAACACATTATAATTATTGACAGTATATCGTACAATACAATAGCCAAAAAATATAAATTGCTGCATTTTTGTTTTAATGTAATAATAGAAAATGCATTACCTGCAAAAAAGTCACGACAAGTCTCGATATAATGGCATATTTTGCTATCATAGTTTTACGCGAATTTCCCATGGGCGTCGCCATCTTGAAAACATCTTTCCTCAGTCATAGTTTTATTATTTTAATGTTTAGAAATTTATTGTTCAAATTTTTTATACATATACATGCATTTTTGTCTTTTAAAAAAATTGAACAAAATTAAAAAATTGAAAATCATTAATTTATTGTTTCAAATTTGCTAAAAACATCTATATTAAATAATAAATTAGTGCATGAATTAGTCGCTCCTCAGATCGTTTGCTAAAGGGGTGAACATTGTCCTTGTTTAGTTCTCTTTCGAATAAATTGCCAATTTGAGGACCGTTTAGATTTGAATGACTTTGAACAGCTAGACGGTTCTATAAAATAATATTGAGGGTTAATAATTGGGCGTGCTATATGTGGAAGGTTTGTTAATTTTTAAATCCACTGTTATAGAGGGTCTTTGAAAAAAATGGGGGTCTATATATTTATATAGCAGAGCGCCCCCCCCCCATAAAGAATATATAACAAAATAAGTTAATAAATTAATTAATTAAGAAATACGCTACTTCGAAAGTCTTCTATTACACATATTTCGTATATACACCTGCGTATGTTATTGTCATTTAATTACTGTAAATACATGTGAGGGGGGCCGGGTGGACTTGAATGCATGCGATTAATTTAGACCCGTATTACTTGAAAATTGTAGGAGGGGTATTAAACACTTTTCTTTTTAAGTAACGGCTTAATGATAAAGATGAAGTATGAAATTGATCGGATATTACTTGATAAGGGACACTTTTATGGTAGGATCATGGCTGGGTATTTTTTCTTGATTTTCAGCCTTTCAAAAGTGAGGTATCTAATTGGTGAACCCCCAATTTCGTCTGGCGATGGATACAATGATGATGATGATGATGATGAAGATGATCTCTTCTTGTATAGCGCCTCTGATAGGCGCTCATGCCCTTACAAAAAAGTTGTATAGAATTCTATAGAACGCTTTATAGAGTTCTATAGAGTTCTATAGAACTCTATAGAACTCTATAACATTCCAGATTCTCTATAGAACTTTTAAGAATTCTCTATAGAAAGCGGTTTCCTCAATAGAATTCTATAGAATAAGTTTTCTATAGATTTAAATTTCTATAGAAAAGTTAATTCTCTATAGAATTTTTAAGGTTGTCTATAGAAATCAGTTTCCTCTATAGAATTCTATAGAATAAGTTTTCTATAGATTTAAATTTCTATAGAAAAGTTAATTCTCTATAGAATATTTTAGGTTGTCTATAGAAATCAGTTTCCTCTATAGAATTCTATAGAATAAGTTTTCTATAGATTGAAATTTCTATAGAAAAGTTAATTCTCTATAGAATTGTTAAGGTTGTCTATAGAAATGAGTTTTCTCTATAGAATTCTATAGAATAAGTTTTCTATAGATTGAAATTTCTATAGAAAAGTTAATTCTCTATAGAATTTTTAAGGATGTCTATAGAAATCAGTTTTCTCTATAGAATTCTATAGAATAAGTTTCCTATAGATCTAAATTTCTATAGAATTCTATAGAATTTTTTTTCTATATGAAGATATGTATCTCATGCATATTCATGATAATTTGCATGTTTTCACAGAAAATGTAATTATCATGATCTGTCAAGCAAATGTGACAATTAACATCAATTTTGTGATTTATATTTTCTTAGACAATTATTGACAAATATAATATATATGTACGATTTTTTTAAACATGTAACTTAAGACGTAAAATAGATATATTAATATATGTAATTTACTAACCAGTAAAAACATGTATAATTTTGTATATGTATGTAAGATCTCCGCACTACTTAATTAACAATATATACTCAACTGTATTTTGCTTCAAATGATCATTGTGATGGAGCAATTGCAGGAGTCTATATAAATATGGTTTAGTCGGTGGCCAGATGTCATGCAATATTGATTATTAATTATCAATTGATTGCTGGTCGCTACTGAATAATAAACTGGTTTTCAACTGGTAAATAATGGTCTACAGAATTATTTACAACAAAACTTCTATAGAATTCTATAAAAAATATCTATAGAATTTCTATAGGCCATTCTATAGAATGTTTTATAGAGATTCTATAGATGTCCGTTATAGATTTCTATAAAATTTGTATAGAAAAGTGGCCCACTTTTCTATAGAATCTCTATAAAACATTTCTTTAGAATTGCTATAGAATAAAATGGTCTATAGAATTCTTTATAAAAAAATTCTATAGAATTCTATAAAACAAATTCTATAGAATTTCTAAAGGCCATTCTATAGAATGTTTTATAGAGATTCTATAGAGGTCCGTTATAGATTTCTATAGAATTCTTATAGAAAAGTGGCCCACTTTTCTATAGAATTTCTATAAAACATTTCTATAGAATTGCGTATAGAAATTCTATAGAATTTTTTTTATAGAATTCTATAGAACTTTTTTGTAAGGGTGGTGTTGGCTTGAATCGAACATTTTGCCAGATGTAAGAAAGAAAACAATAAGTAAACAAAAAACAGAAAAGAAATGCCAAAAAAGTAAACAATTAAGTAGCAAAATAAAATAATTGAGATAAATCTTAGCTTATTAGAGTATACAGCTATAAAGCCGATTTGAAGGCGGTATAATTGAGTTTTAAGATATAATTGACGGAGATAGGTTAATCCAGTCCTTACTGCTCTGCAAATATACTACATCTACTTGGACAAAAACAATTTTACGCCCCTGAAAATAATCTAATTTGCTTCTTTCTTCTTTTTTGTTGTCGTGTGCGTGTGTGTGCAGGCCCCCCCCCCCCCCCCCGCAAAAAAAAGAGAGAGAGAGAGAGAGAGGAGGAGGAAAAGAAGGGAAAGGGAAAGGGAAAGAGGAGACGAGAAAGAAAGAAGAGGAAGAAGAAAAGAAAAGGGGGAAGAAGGAGATCGGCAGGCACGTAGTCACGGGGGGGGGGGGGGGGCACGTGCCCCCGAAAATTTCCAAGATCGGTTGAACTTTTTTAGACCCCTCCCCAGGACGTCGATCGATTACATGTGTGCCCCCCCCCCAAAAAAAACACACCAAACTCTGGCTACGGCCCTGGAAATCGATCGGGGGCTTGCCTTCCAGGCTGTTGCCCCCCCCCCCATCAACAAATAAGAGAGGATGAAGGGAAAGGGAAAGAGGGATCCGCCCCCTCGATCCAACCAGCGGTCCTAAGGTGGGCCCCTGAATGCTTATCTGACCGTCATGAAATGCCTAAGACTCCTGAGCTTTTGCCGCCCCTAGACCCCCACGCCTATTTATGCTACGCTCTACCTGATCTTAAATAATTTACCCTCACCCACTCACTTTTAAAATTATTCAGCGGAGCCTGCATGTAAGAGTTGGGTGATGCAGATTTTTTTCTTTCTGCCCCTCCCCCAAACATTTTTGCTCATTTCGCCACTGCTGGTCACCATTACGTAAGTTGGCTCGCATAATTTCAAATGTGCCCCCCTCCCCCTATCCTGGATCAGCGCGTGTGTGTGTGTGTGTGTGTTATTTTCTGCTTTGGGGGGGGGGGTCTTTTTTTAAATAAGAATAATATAAAAATAAGTATATTTGTGATTTTTAGTTTACTAATTCTATATGTTTATTTAATGCCTGTTAACAAAATCATCTCATGCAGCCACCCCCTTTTGCAAGCCTGAATCCTTCACAGATAATAATAAGTTTTGGCCAAGTCTATAATGAGTGGGGATTTTATACAACCATTAAAAAGTAATAATTGTAGCCTATATAAAGGAAAAAATGAGGTGAAATGAGGTAAGAATCCTGATGCGGGACTTTTTGGTGACCCAATGACTATGCGGAGCAAGCATCGTCCACGAGCCGCCTAGAGGCGAGACGTTTGTTTGTTTGTTTGTTTGTGGTTGCTTTTTTTTTTTGGGGGGGGGGCTATTTTGAACCCCCAGAAGTGATATTTTCTGGCAGCATCTACACTATATCTAGGGCCTAGTAATTGTGTGCGGGTCTGGCCACATGGCGTTTTTCTATGCACATTACATTTTCACTTGGCAGCCCTACGTAGATCCACCCCTGTGCCGTGGCGTAACGGAGCATAATTATGTTTGGAGGGCATAATAAAAATCCGCATCACCAACCCATGTTACATGCATGCCCCGCGGAACGTTTTTCAAAGTGTTGGGGGAGGGTGGGCTAAGGTATTTGCGATTAGGTAGAGCGAAGCAAGTGAAGCGTACATTGGCGTGGGGTCCAGGGGCGGGGCCTCGAAAATTTGAAAATTGCTCCTCCCCCTCCCCCCCCCCCTCCCCTTGAGCACCATGCAGGGGAGGGGGCCGGTACGTCTCTTTTTTTATACAAATAAAGGTAAAATTAACGTGTTGTTACCGTCCCCTCTTGCCTTGAGTGAGGTCCAGGAGGCGTAGCGCCCAGTAGCTCAGAGGTTTTAGACATTAAATTACGGTCAGATGAGCCTCCAGGGGCCCGTCTTAGGGGCCTTGGTGGGGTCCTACAGCAATTTTGTAAATCACTGGTATCGAATTAATTAGAAATAAACCACGTTTGAATTTTATTTGGGGGTCAACTGCCCCCTCCATCAGTACGCCAGTGCATGCATGTGTTTGATTAGTAAACACAACTTTTGTCTGAAGCATTTTATTTCAGTGCAATATGTTGATTAAGGGGGGGGGGGGGGTACGACGGTACGTGAACCCAATTTGTTATTGTTTTTTTAATTTCATTATAAAACGTATCTTTGCAAAGTAATAGGTTATAAGACCCCCGTTCATTATGCACAGTCTTTAGAACAGTTAAGTAGAATACTGGTTAAGTCTTTGACAGTGAATGCCAAAAATAGAAGGAAATAAAAGTCGTCCAAAAAAAAAAAAGAGTGATAAATATGAAACCGACATGTGGTGCAGCTGAAGAAGCGAAGTGTAGATGTATTTGTGAAAATAGTATAGTTAAGACCTTATGTAGGATTCAAACAAATGTATACAATGGTTGATTACTATTTTAGTTAGATGGGGTGACGTTCCACTTTCCCGCGTCTTAGTTCACCCCGAGTTTCCTCGTCTTTTTAGTTGAAATGAAGTCGTAAAAAAATAAAAGAGGCGATGAAATCATTAAATTGGCAACAGTGATCGGTCGACATGGGCTGAATTATATGTGTCTTACTTCAATCTTGCTCATTTCTTTATTATTGTTGTACTCGGAAGGATGCTGCATTTAGCGTCCTTATTGTTCCGGAAACTTGGCTCTTTCTTGGAAGAATTCACCCAGCAGCAAAGGATAATGGCTGAAATTAAAGACCTACCGTTTCAATTTCCAGAGCTAGCCCATATTGATCACAAGAAATCGTGTCCTAGATACAATGCAGGTCAGTATTTTCAGAGGACAAAACAAGAGAGAGCGAGAGTCGAGGCAAGCGAAAGCGTGTGACTGTGAGTCGAGGGAAGCTAGGGAGGAAAGCCCAACCTTGGCGGGCTGCGCCCAGCCTGCCACCGTGCACCGCTGGCATGGCACGGCGCGGCTCGGCCCTATCGCGTGACGCGATACGGGATATGCGGGGCCAGGGACAGGTCACTATTTAGGGTTAATCTAACGTTACTAGATGTAGTACGAGTTCCCAGTCTTGAAACTTGGCCCGGATGCATTTTTCATTGACTTTGTACAGAGACTTTTCACGTTATGAGTAGTGTAAATCACACAAAAATAAAATTTAGAAGAGTTAATGAAATACAACAAGAAATGTGTAGGTTAGTACATAATGAAGACACAAAGAGTGGTCAAATCGGCTGAATTTGCCGTTTTATACACCAAAAATGACATATTACTTACATTTTGCGTCCCAAGGTTTTCCCATTCCTCAGTGGCGCGCTGAACCGTCGCAAATATGCCTTTACTTATTACGCGCTGCGCTGGTGCAAGCCCAGCGGGCGGCAGTCCGCACACACGTACGCGGTACGTGCGTGAAGACTTAGCCTTCGCTACAGACACTTGCTAAATGTACGCGCACGGACGCACGGACAAGGCAGGGTGGATCACTGACCTCTATTATGTGGACGTACCGTACCATCGCCCATTCCCGCGCCCGTGTTAAAAAACTGAAGCGGGTGCGCACTCGCGGTGGCCATTGGAGTGCCGTATCACTTTTAGAAGTGAAACATGGCCGCGAGAGTACTTCTATACGCCGTGCGCTCATTCAGAAGTGCAACATGGCGGCCGCACAGCGTCACTTCTGTTAGCCAATGAAATGTCCGGTGTAACGTTAGAGGTCGGTGGGGTGGATTGATATTAGGCCCCAACTGTTATACCTACTGGTTTAGTGCTGTGGGTCTATTTGAAAATAAAAATAAAATAAAAGAATTTTTGGAATCTAGATCGAGATTTAAATGGGGTCTAGACTAAACAAATTGGAAGACAAAAAACTTGCCTTTGCCCAGAAGTATTTTTTCATTCTACTTTGTCATTTAATTGCCTGTAATTTAAATATTTTAACATTTTTCTTTATATCTCTCACTTTTCCTTCTTTTACCTTCTTCTTTTTTCTATCCTCAGGTGTCAGAGGTACGGTGTCAAAAAATAATTAAGCATCCCATAATGCAAGTTGTTTGTAAAGTCATGCCTAACTATAAATGAACTATACATATGATCAATTCTGAATGACTTTTACTTTTGAAAACACTGTAATCTCACTGATGAACACTAGTTCTATAGGCCTATATACAAGTAAAGACAATCATCCCAACTATCTCGCCCCCTGGTGGAGCATATCTGCATGCAAGAAACCAAAGGCTTTGACCTTGCAGGTAGAAGCTGCCTGCAGACACAAAACCCCATAGTGCTCCATTTGCCAAAAATATTTTTGGTGGACAGCAGTGTAATTATGGCATTGAATTTCAATCATAGCTACCCGACCCAAATGTATGCATGCATAAAGTTGCAGGTTTAATGTGTATGATTAATTCTTAAAGAATTTCATATTTGGAAGCATTGTAATATCTCACCAGTTTAATGATAATTAACTATATTTACAGTCTTTTTCTTCTTGTTTAGGCCTGTACACCAAGGGTTTTCACATTGCAGGTAGAAGCTACCTGCAAGAACTAACTGCAAACTGAGACTCACCAATATAGATATTGTTGGCTGTCAACTGCTTTAAAGTCTGCTGGACTCCACACATCTAGATGCCTGGGCAATGATAGGCTGCTCACAACTTCACAATGTTGCATACAAATTCTTTGAATTGTTTTCAAGAATAACTTTTTTTTCCAGACTCTTTCCACAATGCTTGTCATAACCAATTTGCGAATAATGCAAATTTCTAAGAATATAACACTAGCAATTACAGGTCTTTACATAGTTTTACCGTTATAATCGTTTTTACTTTTGGGCCTTTCAAGTTACACATAGCAGATATCACCGAGATGAATGTCAGTAAAGAATTCTGCAATCGTCATGTAGAACAATTCATTGTTGCCTTGATAGGAGACCTCAAACTCCCCATCCTTCAAGTTGATTACTGTTGCATTGTACCATTGCTCCTTTTCATCTTTCTCCCACTTCTGCGCGAATTCTCTATTAATAATTTGTCCTGGGTCTTTCACATCTGTCAGAAAGTTCTTGTCTGTAGGTTCCGGAATACTCAGGAGAATGTTCTTCAACTCATCAACAGAGCACTTACTTAGGGCATGTTTCCCAATATCTTGTCCAAGTATTTTGGTCCTAAATTGAATCTGTGCCTTCAGCATCCCTGTAGCTCTGGTCTTGGACATGCCATTGACTTTGGTTTCACATTCATCCCGATGTTCAATCACCCCGTCTTGCAAGATACTCTCAATAAGTTCTTCTACTTTGTTTCTGGCCTTCTCTGCTTTTTCAGTTAGCTTCTGCTGTTTTTCCCGGACTCGTCTTTTCACCTTCTCTCTGTATGTCACCTTATTCTCCATTTCTCTCTTGCGTTCTTTTGCACCTGCCTTAATGTTATTGCGAATTAGCTCCTTCCTACTTCCCTGTGGCTTGTTTTGGAGCCAGTGCCGTGTGGCATTGGCCTTGAACATTACTTTTGACTCTATTTTACCTATGCCAATATTGGGTGCATGATGTAGGTGCGAGTCCAATTGCGCAAAGTTACGCTCTCCACTTATATTACTGTTGCAGCATGATGCAGCTTGTTCCTTCAAGACCTCTGAAGACTCCCAAAACTGTCCACCGGCAGCTGGGACCCGAGTTGACGTCTGATCACATCTAAGATTGATGTCAGAATAGCCTTGAGTGGCCCGACCATATCGTCCTCAAATGGTTGAGACAAAAGTGCAGTTAGGACCTCATCTTTAACAGGTGGAGTACCAAATACGGTGCAGTTGTCCCGAAGCATGGACTGCGGCTCCTCCGACCATTTGGTGAGCATATTGGCAGCACTCTCATACAAATTATTCATCTCGAGGATGTTGCCTCCTTCACTGACCACCTCCATCCAGGGTCTGGCTACCAATGCACCAACAAGGCCAAGGCATCGAAGATGGCGGATGTTGTCAATGTTCCATGCATTTACAAATGCCCTGTGCAAGTCATTTGTCGGCTTGTTGACCAATCTGAAATAATCTACAATGGCCTCCCCAATTAGATGCAACCTCCCAGCCGAATAAAACAAAATGTTGAATCTGTTGCCCACCCATCTGGGGATCTGTTGAGGAAATCCTTTCTCTTTCAAAAAAGACCGCAACTCGGTGCTATCTCCACAGCTGTCACTCGTGAAAAGCTTGCTCGCAACTCGAATGAATGCTTGCGCATTACACTCGCCGCCTTTATTGAAAGGCATTTTGCAAGTGCGTTCTTTGTTGACATCTAGTCGTTTCAATGCCTTGTTGGCATCGCGTGCGAATGAATCCAGCGGATGCATGCTACATCGAAACTTGTTCACCTTGATATTTCTCTGCTCCTCCAGTTGTCTGTCGACGGCATCATTCGTTGAGCAACGATCCGTCATGGTATTAGTTACCTCATTTAGGACATGAGGGGACACAGCATCACAAACTCCCTTGATTGACTCAACATATTCCGCTGCTGTCCCTCCAACCTGTTGGGCGAACCCTATCATGAATGTATTGTATTGTATTGTAATGTATTGGGTTGCAATGCAGGTATTATATTTGAAATTTGAAACAGCCAGAAATTTGCTAATATTAACATACTTGGTTTTCAAAAGATAGGGGGGAGGGATGCACACCTGACCCGTCCCGCCCCTCCCACCCCCCTATATCCGCTACAGCAACATCATTTTTTATTTCAAACTTAAATTAATAATGTAAATAAATTGATAATTTGTAATGTGAAACAGAAACTAAAGTTCTGGGAGAGGTGAAAAATAAATTTGTAAGCTTCCAAATTCTTTTCAGTTCAGTTCACGCCGAATCAATTTACACTATATATACACTTGTTCTTGTAACTAATCTACCTTTCCCATTTGCTTGTAATTACATATTAAGAACTTGCATGTATCCTTAATAAAGCTCAGTAAAAAGGCTGTAATTGCGAAGAATTCAATCACCTTATCAAACCCAAATTACTATTGATAGCAAATTCTTAATATGCTGGTTGGCGCCAACTTAGTAATTGGACACAAAACAAACCTGCAGGTAAAATGAAGCCTCTCGTATGGCGGTATTAAATTGCTTTCCATCTTTGGTTGATACAGGAGCCTTCAATTCAGCGATTTCATTCTCTAGCACAGCTATCTTATCTATCATATAGATGGAGTCTTCATCCGGGCGAGTAGTACGAGGCTTTCGTGGAACACTTGACCGTTGCTTCCTCAATCTCAGGTATTTTTCCGGTACCTTTCAGCTTTCTTTTTAGCGCTGTCATTGGCCTTTGAAAGTTTTGTTACCTTAGAGCTTGCCATCTTGAATTCATTTTTGAAATGATCGCATCTTGCACTGGTCCTGAAAACTTTCCTGTTAAGGTCTTTAGTCCTTTTGTTGGTGTTGATGATGGCATGGAGATCTTTAACTCGCCGTCTCGCAGCGGTCAGTTTGTTCTGAAGATCTGCAATAGATCTTTCATGTCTCTCCTTGATTTGCTTGACCTTGGCATCATGGCTGACTGCTTCATTGTCAATTACCTGACGGAGGCGGTTGCAGTTTCCACATCCAGACTCGCGCTGACTTGGACTGCTTGCAGCCGTGCCAGGGATGGAAAATTTGTTTTCGAGGAACTGTTCAAGGTTCTCTCTTGCACCGGGTCTTTTGAAATGTTTCTTGAAAGTTGTGTATTTCGCATACAAACGTTCCAGTTTACGCAACAGAGTTCTCTCGTTGGCACCCCATATTCTTGCTATGGGTGAAATTAGACCACGCTCCTTAGTATAGATCTCGAGCATAAACCCATTTACGATATGGACGATGGATATGTTCTCGAGAATTGTGTCTGGGGCCAGACCTGCCCGTGCTATAAAGCCACTGGCAGCCATTTCCTGTGAAATAAAAAATACATTTTTTATTCATGCAAACCTATGTGTATTTGCATATTATTGTTAGTGAAATCATATTTCAAACCAAGAGACCCAGTTTAAAAAAAAAGGAAGATAAATAAAAAATAAAATTTGATCACAAATAAACACACAAGGACAAGAACTCATAACAAAGTACAGATTACAAACATTTAACACTCAAACCACGAGTTATATCTTTTGTATCTTTCTTGAGTTTTTATCTTGGTCTTGAGTTTTTATCTTGGACTTGAGGATCTTGAGAGTCACCCAGACACAGTGAAAAAAATACACGGGGGCTCAGGGCGAATTTGCCCCCGAAATGCCCAAAAGAGCCCCCAAAAATCAGAAAGAGCCCCCGTAAATTTGCATAGAGTTCAATGCAAAACAAATTTTAGAGTGTTATTTTTATGCAAGCAAGCTTGAAAAGTAGCCCCTGAAAAATAAATATTAATTTTTTCCTGCGCAGACAGGAGCACAAACCACCATGACACGGCCACAAAGGCAGCTGAGGTGTTCTACAGCCATGTGTCTGCCGGGTAATGCGACAAATGCTCTGATGAAATTATCTCTGTATTTAATTTTGTAAGAGCTATGAATAGGGAATCGATCATAGCTAATAGCTAAAGTAATTGTCACCAGAGCATTTGTCGTAAAACCGTCTGCAGGTAGTTCAGATCTTAGTTGTGCATCAAAAGGTCTTGGCATAAAAATTGTGTTGAAGTTCCTAGGAGGAAAATAAAAGAAACGTCATGAAAGTTTATTTGTGGGATATGTCATGTTGAACATCTCTCAAACTAATTAACCGAGTCTACCAGTCCATTTAAAAAAATTTTTTTTTTAGGGGGGTAGTCAACACTTTGAAATTTAAATTTTGAAATAGGCCTACTGATCTGAAATAAAATTCTAAGTTTCAAACATATTTTGGCCCATTGTAAAACGAGGAAGACAAAGTAGGGCCTATAGAAAATTGAGCTGGTTACCCAGGACGTAGGCCTATTGCAGGTTGACATTCATAAGGGGGAAAAATATAGGTACAAACAAAAGTATTCTAAAAAGGAAATGAAAATTGATTACAAGAGAAAAGAAAAATAAAAGACATGTATACGCCTACATGTCAAAATAAAAGTGTACAAAAAATAAAACTTTTACGGCAATCACTGGGATTTGAAAATCAAATAAGTCTTTAGACATTTATTTCAGAATAATTCAAGTACCCATACATGTACAGTTGTTTGACACCGTAGAACAAATAGAACATTCATACATGGGGGGGGGGGGGGGGGGGACACACCCTGAAATCTCAAGAGTTTAATACTTGTCCTTCATCCATTCACTTTTTTTTTTCAGTCATTATTAGGCGTAACTTTAAGTTAGATCTCCTCATGCATGGAATTTGTTATTTTCATGACGAAATGAAATAGGTTTACAACCAACTCCATTATTATGCTAGCACTAGAATATGCTCTGCGCGAGCGTATGTGTGTGCATTGAAATTTATTTAATCAGGTTGATTAAAAAAAAAGGGGGGGGGGGAAAGGCAGGGACAATTTATTTTGATAAGCAGATATTAACAGAAAAATATTGTTAGGGGTGACATGACTGGCGTATAAATGAGCCAATATTTTGGGGGGACTGCGCTATATCTACAGAAATTTGTAAGATTTATTTATTTGAATTTTTTTTAGGGGGGCAGCTGTCCACCCCCCACCAGACAAGTTGTACGCCAATTTTGTCTTTGTGTCAAGAGAGGCGTGACCTGAAGCCGAGAGTCAATAAAAATGATCATGAAACTTGAATAAAAGATGGGCTGAAACCTGAGCTAATTCCTGTAATAAAGAGAAAAGGATGTGATTGTGGATACACCCCCCCCCCCCCCCACACCGATATATATTTCACTGTACTCACTCAGGTCTCTCTCAGTCACTGACTCACACTCACACACAGCCCAGGCCAAAATTGACTTTTTTAATTTATTTTCTTAATCAGTATGCATATATAAAAATTAACAACAAACCTCTGATAATAATAAAAAATAATGTTCCTCGTCACATTCAAACGCCCACCAGATTAATAAAATTAAGTATTGAAGACCAACGAGTATGAAAAGACTAGTATCCATATACACGCACTGTGCAATTGCAATGGCGGTCGTACAACACATAAACTCAATAGCGTCTCCGCGGCAGCAACCGCAGAAATCTTTCGCGCGAAACTGCCGGGGATCACATTTTGGCTGAAATTTGCCCTACTTGGTGCACTCATACTGATATGTGGGCGTACCTGGGCTCGGTAAAACTTTCTTCCAAAAAATCCGAAAACAGTTCAATTTTGAAAAAAACAAACTTTGGAGACTGCCAAATTCTGCGCAATATGGATCTAGGATACATACTGACAAAGTTCACTCCGAAAATAGCGAAAACATCGACTTACCGAGGTGAAAAGTCTACAAACTAACGGCGTTATGGAGGTAGGTAGCAGACACCATCGCAATGATCAGAATCCGTAACTACTTTCATATAATTTATGTTAATTTATTTCTACAGGACCCGTTCACTTCAGGAAAGAATAATATCAATCCACCCCTTGTCGAAAGCATATGCAACGGGCGAGCTGCCAAAGCTTGAGCACACCGTATGTACAAAACGATGTACGTGCGCAAGGGCCCCCTCTAGTGCCGAATGACGTCCTCTATTATGAGCGATAAATCCTTGGGAAGGCGGACAACTTACAAAAGCTGACAGTGGACTTTATTTTGCGGAATCTGTTTTTTGGCATTGCCAGGGCGCGCTAGGTGGCGCTAGGGGAACCCGAAACCCGCAGAGCGCGGATGAAAAAACAGAAGATCCTTATTTTCTTGGGACACAATTCGTCCGCGTTTACGAGGATATGCTCGATTGTGCGAACGATCTCTGTACAATGTCAATGTAAAAATCCGTTTTTCGCATCGCCAACCCGCGGATCGGAAACAAGAATCGCCCACAAATATGTGGACGATCCTTAGTTATATTGGCGGACGCTTCTGTCCGCGTTCACGAAAAGGGATCCTCGTTTATGCGGATGATCCTTATCTCTTCAAACAGCGTCCCTTGGTACTTGGTTGTTTACCATTCATTTATTTATTTCCTAATTGTTAATATATAATTTTTACTTATTTATTTATTTATTTGACAGTGGTTGACAGAGAGGAGGAGAATGGCTCCATTAGTATGGAGGAGCTAGACTGTCTCCAGCTGGAGCTAGAGACGATGCTAGCGGCCGTCACGAGGAGGATCCGTCAGATCCAGCAGGAGGTGCAGAGCATGGCAGATCTTCAGGAGATCAAGAAAGAAAAAAAGGAGCCAAACCTGTAAGAAAAGAAAATTAATGTTTTGTTTATCCAGAGTAGGCAGTCTAGGCACATTTATAGTATCCTCCCTGAAGGCCCTGCACACCGCTTTACAAAGTCATATTATTGCCCAGTGATCATCTTGAAACGGCACTCTGCTCCAAGATGAGGTTTTTAAAGGGCATAGCATACATTGTGGAAATATTGACTGATTTAGGTTAAAACAATTGCCCTGAGGTGATCTTGAAACTGTCCTTTGCCCACAGACCATAGTCAAAAGTCATTATACAATTTCAAGATCATTGAGTGCGGTAGTTTTAAAAGTCACATGTGCCTGAGAGGCAAAACCAGAACTGAACCACTCTAACCCTCTTGTCTCTCCTCTTGGAATGCCAAGTGATTTTTTTTTCTTCAATTTTTTGTATTTTTCCAAAAAGGATTCAGTTTGATTTGAATGAATTTTTACTTGCCTCATAGGAGAAAAAAGAGGAGACTTCAACCACAAGTGCGCCCCCATCTGGCAAGCGAGGGAGAATCGATGAGAAGCCAGAGAAACCAGAGAAGCCTCCGAAGAAGATGAAGGAATCGAGCGGGAAGGGGGGCAACACCAGCACCCCGGGGGTCGGATCTAACAGACCTAAAGCCAAGAGTATGAGTATACATGTGAGTATACAGCTAAGCAGGGGAGGGAAATGGAAAGGGGGAGGGGGGGTTCTTGCACCCCTTTTGGAGGATCTCATATCTACTTACAGTTGATACTCTAAGCAAATAAATGCCCCTTAATTCGTTACCTACGGCAAGTATATGTTATTTTTAAGTTTTTCAATTACTTAGAATATCACAAAAAATTCTGTCTACTCGAAATCCTCATTTGAAATGTCGAAAATATCCGCCTCTCTTTGCATAGAAAATCAGTCACGGCGCTGGTCTACTATTTATGATCTCACGTCCGGGAAAGAGTATATTCACGTACCCGGATGTTCCATAGCAAACATGTGCAGAGTGACACGATTTTCTGCTTATTTTTGTTTCAAAGGCTGAAAAGTCTAATAAATCATAATTCTATGTACAATTCTTTACCTTCCCCTAGTACTTCATAGTATTAATATCGATTCCCCTTTTAAAAATTATGACATACATGTATACATGCTAACGATGTGCTATTAGTCGATATTTTCACCATGTAATTTTTGTTTTGGTGTTGAAATCGGCCCAGGCACGGAGTGAACAGTACGTAGCTGTCTACCCATGCACAGTTCATTACCATACACTACGGCGATCTCCCGATGGTTTCTTCTTCCTTTTTCCCATGTCTTTCGCCTTCCTTGGCCCTGAAGATCCTTCATCTACCAATTCTGACACCGGTAGTCAGGAGCAAGTCTTTGTTAGTTGTTTTTCTTAGCTGGCAACGTCGCTTTCATTATCTTGCAATTGCTGATAAACATATAACTAGCGCACGTACGTTCCATCACAAGCAAGCAGCGCCTAGAGCAGCGGCTTGGTCTTACCTCCCGATTCTGCTCGCTTCACGAATGTTCATGCAAGAGCCGCATCACTCGCCAAAATATTATAGAGCAAGCGCGCTTGCATGATCTCGTTCAAGTTTTATATTTTACAACATAAAATGTTTAACTGGTACTGTATCCTTTTTTGAGGCAGTCACACAGATCTATGATAAGTACTATCATAGTTCTAGACCTATTCGTTTTACAAAACTGCTCCTGTACCTTATCTGATGACAATATAATGCATCCGCCTATTCATACGTGCACGATTTAACTTTAATTCCTAAGCAGTAAACTCGTCTTAAATCTCTACCAAATAGGTGAATATGAGGATATAAAAAGAAATCAGCGACTGGAAAATGTTGCTTCGTTATTCTTCATTCAAATGAAAACAGAAAATCCATCAAATAAACTCCTTAACAAAAACAAATCTAAGCCCTGACAGGATAGCATTTACGTAGGGATATCACTGCCATTCACTCTCACTGAGCCCATGAGTCCCGTTCGTGACGTCACGGATAGAGGCCCGACTCTACGTGCACTAGCTTCCGGGTTTCAGACTTAGATATTTTGGTAGAGTTACTCGAATAAATTCATTATTCTAAACTTGTTATGTCGGGTGGACACCATTTGGTGTTATTATGGGGGTTAAAAGTAAATTATCTCAGTATTTGGGATTGTCTTAGAGTATCAACTTTAAGGCCCAGGTAGGCAGGTAGGGTAAGAATGGGTTTTTATAGACCTTGAGCAAGGAGTAAGCAATGATACTTACTGTAGAATATTTATTTTCTGCCAACCCCACCAATGTGCTATTTCCCCCCTCTTTCTCTTGGAACCAGCAAAAAATACAGGAATACGAATTCACTGATGATCCGCTCTCTGACGTAGCACCCCCTCGCTTGCCCCGCAACGACACCATCGATCGTTTCTGGGCGTCGGTGGAGCCCTACTGCGCTGACATCACCAATGAAGATCTGAAGATGCTCGATGAGCTCATCAAAAGTGGCGAAGAGGAGACAGAATTCTTCAAGGTGCCGTCTCTAGGGAAGCACTACTCGGTCCGATGGGCGCATGAGGACTTACTGGAGGAGCAGAGAGAAGGTACTTATCATGAACAATATTAAAGCCCCACTGTACTACTTGTAGCTACTTGATCCCTCTATATAGAAAACAATGCCTAATCGGTCACCATTGGTCCCCCATGATCCTCTTTTCTTATGTTAATTGAGAGCTGAGTTGATGAGGTAACCACCTGTCATTGACCACCCTGGGTGGTCTAATTTCTTCTAGCCAAACTAGAACAGACGGCCTTTAAAGGAAAATCCAACCTTGATAGCCATCTACTCTAGAAGAAAGCAGAAAAATCAGAGAAGCAGACTGGTGAAAGTTTGAATGAAATCGGACAAAAATTAGAACTAGTCATTCAAGAATGACATAAATATCAATTAACACAATAAAAACAAATATTCTACAGTGTATGTATACAGTTCATACAACCTGAGTCTCTAAACATCATTGGGTACGCTTGATATACATCATTTGGAGCCTATTATGGAGACTTAAATCTTGAAATGTCCTAAAGAGTTCAATGCATGTAAATGTAGACTGGTGATCAAATCTCTGTTGTTTTTACTGTGTAGGTGGAAGGATAACAGACAAGAAGAAGGGACCTTCACCAAACACCAAAGAAGCTAAAGCCATGCTGAAGAAAGCAGACAGGTTTGTAACAATTAAGTCTCATTTAGATATGACACGGTTATCCTTCCTCCCCCCCCCCCCCCCCCAAAAAAAAAAATGGAGATTGTACAGTTATTCCTGTGTTGTAACCCATTAGTGGTATTTCCACCAAGTCTGGTGTCAGCGAATTATGAGCTTCTGTACCTGGAAACCGAGGACCCTCTCCCTTTAAGGAAATACAGTAAAACCTGTCTTAGTGGCCATCTCTCTAGGAAGGCAACCTGTCAATCATTGCCATGCATTTTGTCTCCCTCTAACCCTACAGTCTACAGTGGTCACTTTTATGTTTCATTTTGGTTGCCTTAAAGGCAGTATTTAAAAATGTTTCCAGTTTTACAAATGAAAGATGCATGGCCCTACATGTTATCAGTGTCTGTGATTTGGTATTATTTAGAAGCCCTATAAAAATTGCGCCTGATCATGAAGTGCCTCAAAAAATAAAAATCTTTGAGTGACCGGTCTTACAAAGCTCATTTTCCCCAATAGACTCATATGTTATGAAAACGCTGGGAAAACGATTTGTGAAATTTTGAATTCCAATCTTAGATATCTTGATAATCAGACAGGCGATCTGCTTGTAAACGCCATGAGATTCCTGACTGCAGCATGAGCTAAATCCAGCGTTTTGTTTAGAATCTAAGGCAAAGATCCCAAATACCTTTAATAGACAGGTTTGACTGTGATATGTTAATTGTTTGTATTATCTATGTGGTTACAGACCTGATGACGACTGCTGTCCGTTTGGAACCCTGACCCAACGTCTCATCTCAGCGCTGGTAGAAGAGAATATCATGTGCCCTCTGGAAGAAGAGTTCCTCATGGATTCATCTAAGGTCAGTTATATCCCTCTCATTATCTAGAGGTGCCAAGGTTAAGTCGCCAGACTGTCGATCACGAGGTCCGCGGTTCGAGACCCGCTGCGGCACTAATGTCCTTTGGCAAGACATTGATCTACATTTGCCACACTCAACCCAGGTGATGTAAATGGGTACCTGGCAGGAATTAATTCTTTGAAATGCTAGAGTGCCGTAATGGAAGCACAGCTAAAGCCGGGGTAATAATCTCCAAGTTTGGAAGCGCTTAGTGATTGTAATAAGCGCTATATCAAAACTGAGTATTATTGTTATTATTGTTATTATTATTATTTGCCACACCACCCAGGTGAGGTAAATGGTACATACCTGGTAGGAATTAATTCCTAGAAATGCTAGAGTGCCATAACAGTTCTATCCCTTTCATTAAAATGTCCAGACATGAAAGAATTGATTTATTCTGTAAGGCTTGGGAGTTATCAAAATGATTTTCCCTCTCATAATCACTCCACTATAATTTCTTTCTCTCTCCCATACTCTCTTTCTCACATTCTCTCTCTCTCTCTCTCTCTCTCTCTCTCTCTCTTTCTCTCTTTGTCTCTCTCTCTCTCTCACTCACCTCTTCATCATTATCTACATTTGCCACACTCGACCCAGGTGAGGTAAAATGGTTACCTGGTAGGAACTAATTCCCTGAAATGCTAGAGTACCATAAAAGAAATGCCCACCTCCCTGATTTTGTTTCTTTGATATGTCACTCCACACAAATTTTAATGTCTCCCTGATTTTTTGAAAGATTATTTCGATTTTGCTGTCTGCAATTGATATAAACCTCTCTGATTTCTGAATGAATCCTCCCTGAAAACTGGTTGACATATCTGCCATAATGGCAGCCACGCTCAAGCTGGGGTAATAGTTGTGGAGCACCAGGAGTGTCAAGTTTGACAGACATGAGCGCTATACAAAATCCCACTTTTGTTATTATCATTAAAATGTCCAGACATAAAAGGAACAGGGAACGTTACGGGCCAAGTTCAGAATCTGAAGGAGAAAAACGGGATGTGAAAATAAAAAAAATCTAGGAGTAAAACAAATAATGGAGCACCAGAGTTTTGACTGATCCAAATCAATCGCAAGTACTTCAATCAATCACAATTTTCCAGTCTCCTATCTCTTATGTACATAGTTGCGATTGATATTAATTTCAAATAAGTTGCGACTGACATCAACTCTTTGTAAGACGGGGCCCTGGAGTGTACCGGACATGAGCACTTCACAAGATTTATCTCTTAATATTTCATTTCTTTTCCCTCTTTTTTCAGGAAGAGAACGGAACAATAACCGATGGAAACACAGCAACCTCTCCTAAGAATGGAAACAGACCCTTCACAGTACCACACACCAAGGCACTAGAGGCAAGGATCAAGGAGGAACTACTTGCACAAGGTACGGAAGAAAAATAATGGCATTGTCTTATGTAATTTCGAGCTGGAGTCGAGAAATTTCGTTTTGGGGACACCTTAGCCGTATACAGTTGACAAGTAAATCATTACCAGGTTTTGAAGGTTTTTAATATAATAATAATAATAATAATAACTTTTACTTATAAAGCGCTTTTCATAAGACACTTATATCAAAGCGCTTTACAATATTGATACAATTAAAACTAGACAGAGTAATGACAAGAGAACAAATATGAAGTGAAATTATGAAACATAAGATAACAACGTAAGGTAACAATTTAAGAACTAGGTTGGATATGCATATTAAGTTTGTGATTTGTCCCAATTTGTTGTTGTTGTTGAGAATGTGTATATGAAAGCTCACATCTAAAAGTATTCAACAAAGGCACTAATATATCCAGTCCACCTGTCATTCTTGAGTTACGAAAAACACTCAAAACATCAAAATGTACAAAGGGTTATGATCAATTTAGCTGTAAACTGTAGGTGGTGTGCAGGTTTAAACCCATGACCTACTCATCGCCAGTCAAGTGTTAACAAATTTTGTAATTATTTCCGTTTACAGAAGGGAGTTGTGTAATTATTTTGTTTAAAGGCCCACTGTACTACTTGCACCTACTTGCTCCTTTTATATAGAAAACAATGCCTAAGTGGTAACCATTGGTCCCCCATGATCCTCTTTTTCTAATGTTAATTGAGAGCTGATTTGATGAGATGTCCACCTTTCAGTGACCTTCCTGGGTGGTCTAATCCCCCTGGCCAAACTAGTACAGACGGGTTTAAAAGATTGTGTAATTATTTTGGTTTACAGAATGAGCTGTGTAATTATATTTTGGTTTACATCCTATCCACAGGACTGCTGGACGTGGACGACCCCATGATCATGGGTGAGGAGGACGAGGTCTTGCTGGAGCTTCAGAAGCGACAGGAGGAACTGAAGGCCCTCTATGCTCACAACCGCACCCAGAAACAGCGCCTGGTCAAGCTCGCCAAGGAGGAGATCAAACGACAGGAACTGAGACAGAAACTACGGGCAGCTGATAATGAGGTAAGCTGGGCTTTTCATGTATACAGTCTAACCAGGGGGTGTTTCACAGAGACTAAGATCGACTTTAAGTTGGACTTAACTATGACAGACTACTCATGCCACTGGTAGCTCTCATTATTGGTTTCACAATTATGATCGTTTAGATAATATTTTTTCCTTCAATGATGAACTATCAAAAAGGTGAATTCTGTAGATTTGTGACCACGATTTGTACGTTTCTTGAGAAACCAATGCCAATAAATGGTGAGAGTAAACAGTGGCATGAACGGCCTGCCATAGTTTAGTCCGAATTAAGTTGATCTTAGTCTTTGTGAAACAATCCCCTGTCTTAGCTGATTTTTCTCGTACAGTCAAAAGGTGTCTTAGAGGTCACTTCTAATGATATTAATGACCACTATATAGCCTTCATATCCCTTACACAGTAATGCTCTTGTCACTTGGACATTATTACCCTGGTTATAGCTGAGCTGCCAAAGTAACTAGCCCTCAAGCATATCAGATACCCATTAACACCTGGGTGGAGAGTGGCAAATAATGTCTTGCCAAGGGACGTTAGTGTCCAGGTTGGATTTGAACCCTGTACCTTGTGATCTATACTAGACCACAGCACCTCTACCTGTCTATAAAGACCAGCCGTATAATAGTGGCCATGTATTTTGTCTCTATCAGAAAAAAATGTGCGTTGTGTAACTTGTCTAGAAAGGCTACCTACCTAAAGTGGCCATTTTCTCTGTTTTCCTTGAATGTCTTCAATACAAAGGTTTAACTGTATCTGGCTTTACGCCCCCTCCAGAGCACTGCTATATATTGATGTTGTATAAACATGTTGACGTCAAGAAAAAAGAAATAACCAACTATGAAGCAAACAAGTGATATATCAGGACCTGAGAGAAACAAACAAGCATCTGATAATGTCTATAGTACTTTAGCACATCCATTGGATAAGGGAGCTCCATTTGTCCCTAATTGAAAGGCAAAAAAAAGATTAACAAAGGAGAGATGAAAGGGAGTATATTCCCTCTCCCAATATTTGGCTTTATTAATTTGCATTCCCGCCAACAGTCATTACCATCCCTCACCGCCGAGACCTACACTACACCGCCAAATTTGTACGATAACATATTTTCCCCCATTCTTCCCGCAGTGCATAGACTACTACCGTCGCATCATGGCCGCCAAGCAGAAGAAAAGATCACCGACCAAGAAAGAGCGAGACGCGGCTGCCAAAGCCCTACGAGACCGGGAAACCATCATCAAACAACTGGATACCCTTTGAACTCTTCGTTGTTGGAGCCAGGGCTTGACAATAACAGAAACCTGGGTCACCTGACCCCTCAAATCCTTAAAGCTTATCTGTACTAGTTGACAGGAAGGATTAGACTGCCCTGCAAGGTCACTGGACAGGTGGTTATCTCATCAACTCAGCTCTCAATTAACATAAGAAAAAGAGAATCATGGGGGACCATTGGTCACTGATTAGGCATTGTTTGTTATTTAGAAGGCGCAAGTAGGTACAAGTAGTACAGCGAGGCTTTAAGTTGGTGCTGCGGTATACTGCGTTGCGTCCGAATGAGAACCTTAGCAGATGTAACTGAAAGTGGACGAAGGGGACATACTCACCTGGCAGATTGCCTAATGTAAACATTGTGATTTTAGGCATACATGAATGTGTATTATGTTCAAATATTGCCACTATAGATGTGGATTTGTACAGGGTAGAAAATACTGTTAAAGATATAAAAATGCTGAGTTTGTGGTGTGAAGAAAGAAAACATGTGTGTAGGAAGAAGCACTGGCTCTAGACATAAAAGGAGAGGCTCGTCAGGTTTCATGAGCTGAAGCCCGCTGACACCAGACGTGGTGGAAAACTGGAAAAACCATTAATGGGTGTACAAGTCTGAACACAGCAGACCTGTGGTCTTACCAAGAAATACCTCCTGGTCTCTCAGAGAGTCTTTGGGTGGGGAAAATGTAGTGACTTTAACATATTGGTATAACTTGTATGTAGGGCATTCAAAACATTATTTGTGAGTGACCAGCATTTGTTTTAATGGCATGCCTGCATGCTAACGCCCTTCTGCACGCCAAACAACAAAGGTGATTTTGTATGGGCTGTGACAAGATTTGTTTGATATGAAGCTCTCAGATCGAGTATGTTAGGTGCATGAAATCATGAAATACTTTGGAAAAACATTTATGCGCCCTAAATGTACACATGCTTAACATGCTGACATGAACTTGTATGACCTTAAATTATTTATGTACTAGCTGGCTGTCTTGAGTCAGGGTATTGGTAGCATCCGCATTGTACTTCATTCTAATATTCAGAAGTGTAATGAAAATAAAGATTTTTGTCAATGTATATTCAACTCGGTAACAAACAATGCAGTAAATTAACTGCATACATATTTGTATTCAATGGACAGTAATACATGACATGCATGTACAGTGTAATTTGAAACCGCAATCAAGATGTATTGGTGTTTTGTACAAAATTTTCATAAAATGGAAGAAAAAATGAAAAATACAGTACAGCCGAGAAGTGTAGAGAATGGTAATAAATCATTGCTTGCTTCAGAGATATTGTGTCAATGTATTTTGTTCTTGTCTTATGTTTTACTTTTCTTGATTCTTTGTTTTTGCCGATTGTGACTGCCGATTGTGACTGGTTTCCTCTTGATAATAGGGATTTTTAGATTTGCGTGGACTGATACATGTGATGTCCATTCAAGGCAGTGCATTAAAAGGACGTCGACCGTAGCAATCCACATTGTCTTCGTGCAAATCTAAAAGTCCTTAATGTCTGAATAGTGGACATCCCAGAAGAAGCTCTTGGGAGGGTCCCTGTAAAATACTTCCTCTCCATATTGGTATTCCTTTATCCCTCTTGCTCTCTCCCCCCTCTCTGTCTCTCTCACTTCCTCTTGCTCTCCCTTTCCCTCCCTCGGTCTGTCTCTCTCACTCCCTCTTGCTCTCTCTTTCCCTCCCTCGGTCTGTCTCTCTCTATCACCTTCCCCGTTTCCCTCTCTCTTTCTCTCCCCTCCCTCAGTCTCCCTCTATCCTCCCTCTCTCACTTCCTCTCTTCCCCTCCCTCAGTCTGTGTCTCCCTCTCAGTCTCTCTCTCCCCCTCCCTCAGTCTCTCTCACACCCTCTTGCTACCCCCCCCCCCCCCCCCCTCCATCTCTTTCCCCCTCTCCCACTCCATCTTTTTCTGTCTTTCTCTTGACTTCATTATTCTTTGTCATCTCAATTTTCCTGTGTCTGCCCTGCCAATCAGTCGCTTTCTATCCCCCTCCCCCTCCCCCTCCCCCCTCCCACACTCCATTGTCATTCACTGCATACCTACTAACTCGCCTCTCGTTCCTTTCCTAGTTTTGTTGAAAACATGTTTTTAACTTTACCAGCCGTCATTCATTCGGCAGATATTATTGATAACATGCTTAATAAAACAGGGCCCTGGCTCCAGAGTCCAAACATGATTTAAACCTGCTTTAGCGACCACCTGTATAGAAAGACCACATTTGTTGTTTCTCATTGAAACCTATAGTAAAGGAACCTGTACAATATAAAGACCACCTGCCTATAAAGACCACTTTTTAATGTAAAATACATTAGAGACAGATGAGCAATAACATACAAATTACTTCATTTTATTTACATTTTTACAAGAAGTAATGACATTCATTACAAATAAAGACTTGGCAGATACATGTACTAGTACAGTTAGCAATTGAGATATTTATACCCCTTGTAAAATTGATGGTATGTGTTTTTTCATAACTCAAGAATGAACAGTGGACTGGTTGAATGAGTGCCTTTGTTGAATGGACCGTGGAAATTACCTTGTTATATCAGGATAAAACACAACAGAATATAAAGAGCTGGGACCAGCAAAATCACCTTGTTATATCAGATACCTCATTACATCAAAGCTATTTATAATGAGGTTCCATTGTACAATTAGATGTAAACTTTAAGGCCAGACTGCACTAGTTTGGCCAGGAGGGATTAGACCTCTCTGCAAGGTCACTGACAGGTGGTTATTTTTTATCAAATCAGCTCTCATTTAACAATAAGAAATGGGGGACCAATGGTCACCGATTAGGCATTGATTGCTATATAGAGGGCGCAATTAGCTAGTGAAGTGGGGCTTTAACATGTCACATTCTCAATTGACATTAATCGTGACAAAGACATTTTCATATACTTACAAAACAAATTTATAAAACCTGGTAGGCCTAAGGGTGTGAATAATTTCATAACTGTAGTGTATGTCCATAATAGAATAATAAACCTGGCACATGTATGTAAGTCAAATTTCTTCATGAATTTATTTTGAAATTATGACAACTAGCTAGAAATTTAGAGTAGGAAATGGGTAATTTGGGGAAATGTTTAGGAATTTGGAAAAGGGTTATGCTCTTCAGTTTTGGATTTGAAACCAGGGTTTTTAGTTTTTGGAAAGAGCAAGAAAACAAATTTTGTATTTTCAAGACAAATGCAAACATGTAATGTGTAGGAACAAATTTTCCTAAAATAAAATACTCTTTGTGAATGTTTATTCATGAGGTGAACAAATGGATTTGTATTTAAACTTAAAGCATGTTTGGTAACTGCTTTTAAAAGGGTCACAGTTAGTGCAACTGTGCAAAACGTTCTTGAATTACCTTGTTTTATCAAGTAAAAAAAAAAAGAATACACAAATTTGTTATTACAATGTTCTTCATAAAGAGGCTTCACCGACAGAAAAGGCAAAATATTCACTTTACGTTAAAGGGAGTGGATCGCCAGTTTCCATGTGCAGAAGGCCATAATTCGCTGACACCAGACTTGGTGGAAATACCATTAATGGGGGTATAATTTTGCACACAGCAAACCCATAGTCCAGTCAAGAATTACCCCCAATCTCTGGGAGAGCTCGAGAGTCTTCGGCAAATCAAAGCATTACATAAGGTCCAATGGTCATAAAACTCAAGGCTAACCCTGGTGATTGACAACACCTGTTATTGGGTAAACACCCGAACGGTGTCGATTTCCCCATGAGAGCCGACTACTCAGTGACTTTAACAAAATCTCCTCAATTACTACATACAACTCGGATCAGCAGCTATATGATACAACATTTCACATCAAAGAAGGCGGTGTGGCTCTCATAACTTTCTTCAAGCGTGAGAGTTCAAGTCCCGCACTAAGCAGACAAAAATGGAAAAATGATTGTTGCCACATTGTGTGTAACAGCACCCCTCCTCTATGCAGGCTTGGGTTCAGGGGAAAACACTCTGTTCTTCACACTAGAACGTTGACTGTAGGCCCTGTGTGTAGGAGACTCAAAGGAGAGTCGCACCCTATGTTCTTCAATAAGCTACACTTCTCGCAAAGAGTAGGGTGAACACCCGGTGTTTATTGCACCTGCGTACAAAACTGGTAATCATTCTACAGATCATCGTGATATGCTGCATATATCCCCCCTTTGAGGAATAACAGAAGAAGTTCTCTCTAGGTACAAAGGTCTTGAGTTCACCTCACTTCCCAGTCTTTGCTTTCTTAGCTGGTTTCCCCTGTTCGATAATGTCAACATCGACGTTAGCGACGACCAAGTACGTCTGCTCGCCTCCAACGTTGCGTAGCTTGAACGATGATCCCTCGGGGAGGGGTTTGTTCTGATCTGAATGCTGGAAGATCACCATCAGTGAGTTCTTCTTGCCTTCCAACATTCCAAGCGGAACGTTTCGTTTCCTCGTTATGACGCAGTCCTTCTCTGGATGATTGAGGACCGGACCCGACGGCTTCGGCTTTGCAGCTGTTTTGCTCCCTTCGACGTAGACAATGTCCGATGCGTCTTCGCTCTTCTCCTTCGAGCCCTTTTTTGAAGAGATTTCTTTCTGCTCTTGAGAAACATCTTTCATTTTACTACGAGTTCTCTGACTTCTCCGTTGCTCTGAGGGACTCGACTCATCTGTCTCTGCCTTATCATGGCTCGCGTCCGCCTCAGGGTCTTTGGACACGATGCGTCCGTTGGCTATCTCTTCCTTGTGCACTGTGCGGTAATGAGTGTGAAGCTGAGGAACCGTTCGTGATCTTGAGCCGCAGCGGGTGCAAGCAAAGAAGACCTCGCAAGGCACAGAAGAGGGCGCTTTCTTCTCCTTCTGGGTACGGGTGGTTGGAGCCATTCTGCTATGGTATCTGTAACGAGTCTGGTGATGGTTGAGGTGCGGTAGATTTTCCTGCCCTTGGCTTTGCTTGTCATCAGTCCCTGAAAAATACAGATAATGGAAAACAAGTTCATCATCATCATCATTTATCTGTTCATGATACGAGGAGAAACTAGAGGTACATGTATGATGTAGATCTAATCTTCGCGGTCACTAGCTTCTTGAGTTCATCTCACTTCACCATCAAATGAATAGTTCTACACAATATCTTTGAAAACTTTGACATCTTTGATACAAAATGAATAAGGAAAATTTATTTGCATGCTGTAGCCTTTACTTGCCAGTTACTTAAACAAGATTGTAAGAGCTAGATCTAGGCTACAGCTACATTATAGATCTAGATCTAGACCTATAGATCTAGGCCTATAATATACAAAAGTCAAAACAAAACCAGTAAAAGTGCCAGTAATTTTTAACTTAGTTTAACAATAATTGGTTCATCGAATCTACCACATGTTGTTAATGATGTTATTGTTAGTGTTGTGTACCTTAAATCCTCAGATTTTGGTTCTCTAATCATAATATCTGTAGACAAGCAAGAGAGAGTAATTGCAACGATAAAATTAGAAGTCCAGCATCATTGCAGCATGAATACACACTGCACTTTCACATTGAAAATTGTTGTGTTATTAGTACAGCAGCTCAGAGGCTAACAATTAAAGTTAGACTTCTCACAGTCATATTGTTATCAAAATTGATCAATTTTTGTTCAAAATAATTCTTTTTATATCAAATATTTAGAAAATCTGATATTTAAAATTGTTTCTATATAATTCACATCAGCTCTATTGTCTTTTTAAAATTAAAATTCTTTAAAATTGTCAAAGTTTCATAATTAATACCGACTCACGACTGTATCAAGAAACTACATTTCAAGATGGCAGCTTCCATGGTGAATGAAGTTTTAGCTTCAGGACGTTACCACGATGTTTTATCCATTCTTAAAGGCCTTCGTAATGGTGCAGTGTGAGTAATGCGATTTCAACACATTCTTGTTAATTTTTTATCGTGTTATTGGGCTCCGTATTAAGCATATATTACCCAAAATAACGTGTTCTTTTGAAAGGTGCATTAATTGTAGTCCCATATGACAGGATTCACGTAAGTCATTTTTGAAAGACGAACACCGAATTTGGCAGACTTCCGATTTCGGTAGTCTTTGTGTCATTGATCTCGAAATTCGAATTAGGAGGTCGTTGATATCAAAGTCTTATTTTGGGGCGTTTGTCCAGCTATGAGTATGAGGCTATTGTTTGTGTTAAGGATGAACCTAAAATTACATGGTTGTACTTGTCGACGTGTTTGTGCATTGTGATCGACACAATCGCAACTTTTTTCTTATAGACTCTAGACTAGTTATAGATCTATAGGATTCTGAAACTTTCATTAATCTGTTTCTGTTATTCGTATTTTTTCTTCCATTTTAAAAACTAACCTGATGTTACTGTATAGCTGCATGTAATTCCTTTTTACTTCTTTGTATACCGGTATTTTCTTTTCTCTTAACTTTTGATTAATTGTTTTATTTGTTTCCTGATGTGCTTTACAGATTGTACGCATGTGAGGAGATTTGTAAGAATTTTTTTTTTCTTCTTTTTTTCCCCACAGATATGGAGTCAAGATCCGTGCCCCCCATGCGCTGGTGATGACCTTTTTGTTCGGTTCTGGAAGGTAATGAGTTAAAACATCAAACAATAATTCATGAAAACAAAACCTTTTAGACTTGCTTCTTCAAATCAAAGAGATTGAGTTGAAATTTGTAGTGTCTAGAGACTTGACCAACTCTGAAAAGGTTACTGGCCGGCAGCTTGGCAGTAGGACCATGCATGCTGGCGGTGACCCTAATCCGTTTATGGTCATAATGGGCAATAAATGTTATGCTAGGCTTGGACAATGTTTACATGTGTCTACACCTGTCATGTATATATCACTCTCAATGTTATATGTAGAGAGCAGCCTGTTTGTAAGGCAGTCTGGATTGAACATCAATAACGTGAAGACATACCTTTCTCTCTCTAAAACTAGCATTACTTTGTGTGACTTGAATGCGTGAATGCTACAAAATTAAAATGAAAAGTTTTTGAATTGTCAATGTTATGTATTTCATAGCTCAATCATGGGTATTTTATCTCATATATTATGGTATACTGTTTATCCTAAATTACTGTTAGTACCTTCGTTTTATTTTTAAACAAAACAATTAATATAAGTAGTAGAATTAGTAGTAGGATTAGTAGTACAGTAGTAGTAGTAGTAGTAGTAGTAGTAGTAGTAGTATTATCAGTACAACATCAACATCATCATAATCATCATAACAAGTTGTGACTATTATTTATTATAATTTTCATTATTTCATTGTGTTACTACAAGGTCAGATTAAAATTGAAACTTATCCTTGATCTTCTTTTATTCTCCAAATGATTCTACTCCTAGTTTACGTAACAAGCTACGTGTCATCTTCAAAGCCACCTACACTCATTCCAAGAACCTTGCATCGTTTGTCTTCCTCTATAAAACAATACTCGTCATCATGAGATGGTTAGAAGGGAAACAAGAGGGAGCGCACTCACTTCTAGCGGGGTTCATCGGAGGGTATATCGTATTTGGAGAGAACAACAAAGTCAATAGCCAGGTACTTTGTCTTTGTCTGTCTGTGTATCTATCTGTCCATCTGTTTGTCTTTTTTCTGTCTCTTTCTTCCCCCTCTCTCTCTCTTTCTCTCTCTCTCTCTCTCTCTTCTTCTTTATGTCTCTTTCCCTCTTTCTTTCTCTCAATAGCCAGGTACTTTGTATTTCTGTCTGTCCATCTGTTTGTCCTTTTTTCTGTCTCTTTTTTCCCCCCTCTCTCTCTCTTTCTCTCTCTCTCTCTCTCTTCTTCTTTATGTCTCTTTCCCTCTTTCTTTCTCTCAATAGCCAGGTACTTTGTATTTCTGTCTGTCCATCTGTTTGTCCTTTTTTCTGTCTCTTTCTCACCCCCCCCCCCAAATGCTCTCTCTCTGTCCCTCTATCTCTCTCTTTCCCTCTTTCTTTCTCTCAATAGCAAGGTACTTTATATGTATGTGTATCTGTCTGTCCATGTGTTCTCCTCTTTTCTGTCTGTCTGTCTGTCTCTCTCTCTCTCTCTCTCTCTTATCTATCTGTCTGTCTGTCTCTTTTCTATCTCTCTCTCTCTTTATGTCACTCTTGTGTTCATTTTTTAAGGTCTGCAATAGCCACTTCTCTCTACCACCTCTCTCGCTCTTTATGCTTTCTCCCTCTATCCCCCTCTCCTACTTCCCCTCTCTCTCCCTTTCCCTCTCCATCTATCAATCTCCTTATCATCTTATCTCCTTCTCTATTTATCCTTTGACCCCATCTAGATCAACATGTACCTGCTCTCCAGGATACTGTTTGGTGCTGCCCGGATGGCTCGTGACAAGGGCCTCATCCCTGACCCCAAGGTCGACGTCTTCCCCCTGTTTGCTGCCCTCGTGTGGGCGATCGTCATGTGGCAGTTCGAGACCAACCAGTCCGTCCTACAGCAGTCGCTTCAGAACTCCATGACTTACCTTTATCATGATTCCAATGTCTGGCATGGTATATCAGACTTCCTGTGGAGAAACAAACCCGGACAGATCTGAACAAATTATGATAATCGTTAGAAGCTACCCTGAACTCCTTGCCTTTGATTGGCTATGGGCAGATTTGTCATTGATAATACATTTTATGAAGCAGGGCCCTGGGGGGTGTTTCACAAAGATTTCAAGTTGAACTTAACTCTAAGTTGGACTTAAATATTATGGAGAGCCATTTGTAGCCTTATAATGAAATATATTCAAAAGCAAAAATTTAAGTATTTTAGACTTTTCATAAATTCCACATCATGAACATGAAATCTCCCATGATAATAGAAAATATGAATGATTTGAATCAACATGTTATGCCTTTTAAAATAACTTCTACAAAATATTTGTATGAATGCTAATGGCTTTCCATAATTGTTAAGTCTAACTTAAAGATAAGTTCAACTTAGGATCTTTGTGAAACACCCCACAGATCTTGCAGGTGGCAAATATGGACAGTGCTTTTAATGACGGATGCTCAAAAAAGGAAACAGTAATATATAATAATGGTAATAATAGTTTTATGTAATCATTTTGTTTACCAAGGAAGCCCTATCAGCTTCTGCATTTATTATTAAACCAACAATTGTCAGGTGCCCATTTACACCTGGGTAGAGGGTGGCAAAAGTAGATTAATGTCTTGTCAAAGGATGGTAGTCCTGGGCTAGGCTGGGATTTGAACCCTCAATCCCGGATTGGGTGTCCACTATGACTGGTGATGATTTAACAAGTTGAGTGGGAAACATTTTCATTTGCCTGTATTTAATATAATGAACTTGTCACTTAAGATAAAGTTGAGTTCTGGTCATGTAATTGCATTGTGAAAGAAACATTGTGGAATCGAGCAAAAAACATTGATCATCTAGCATATAAGTACTGCAAGGTTCTGGAATCATCAAAATGATAAGAAATTTGACCCAGTCTTGGCAAAGCTACAAGCACTGTACACAGAAAGATGTGTATGGGACTACACAAACATGTGGCATAAAAATCTGTCCCAATTTTTATAATGTAACATGCCATATTTAGAATATTAAGGCCATGTTTTCAGCTATATCTCTGATTTTCTTCCACACTTGCATAATAACAATGATAATGTTCACAAATTATTGTTTACCTCTTCCCAGAACTCAACTTTCTCTTTAACTCTTCATATCCACACAAGTAGTCTTCCTGTGACACATTGAATTTGTCATGAGATAGATATACCAAAGATTATATAACTGCGATGTATTTCCAGTGGAAGATTAATCGCTTCTGGTGTTAAAAGGGTTTTCATGGAGCTAATCAAAACTGGACATGGGTCATTTTGCAAAGCCACTGTGATTGTGCACAAAGTAATCAGTCCATCAACTGTTGCCTATTGTTGTGTGCATAGATGCACATATGGCAAACAAGCAACTATGCAGAGAGACGAAGAAAGCAAACATAGAGTTAAACTCAATCATTGCAGATTAATAAATTAATTAATTAATGAGCTTGCCTGGGAGTGTCTGTAAGATCACTGCCTGATGTCAAGTTTGATCCAACTTTGATAGTTTGATTGATTGTTACACTTTAATAAAGTAGTTCAATCTAACATTATGCCTTGTGATTAGGATTTAGTTTAGCTGACTGCTAACAAAACCAAGTATATGCTTTTAAAATGATTTAATTAATTTTTAGTTATTTACACCTCAGGAAGCAATTATTTTTTACTTTTTTACTTTTTTACTTGTATGAAATATAATTGTCCCCCTTTTCTATTATAAATAATCTTTAAGTTGACCAGGGTTTAGTAACAATTATTAGAACAGGGTAAAGGTGTATTTAAATTAGTATAAGTACTTGGACAAAAAAAGAATGTTAATCAGACATGTACATACCAATTATACCTTAAATTTCCATTCAAATGTTTTCAATTTGGATTACAACAAAATAATGTTTTTTAGACTGAAAAATTAGTCTATGTCTGGTCCACATGATTGATCAACTCACTTGCCCTCTTCTCTTTTTCCCTCTCTCTCTCTCCCTTTCTCCCATTTAGCAGTACCATTTCTCCTTTGTATGTCCTTTTTTATTCTCCTTTCATGTTTTCTTTCTTCTCTCTTTCTCTCTCTTTCGTAATTTCTCACTTGCGCTTTTTCCTTATCTCCCCTTCTCTCTCTCACTCTTGTGTGGTACCCTTTTCTCTTTCTTTATTATGTATGTCATTTTTTTCTCAGTTTCCCCCTCCAAATTTTCTTCCTTTTCTCTTCCACAAGAAAAACAAAATCTGTTTTGACTTTGTACATAATCAACTTTGATTCGATATTTAATTATGAAAAGGAAATGTGTATCATAGATTATAAATATATTTCTATCACTGAATACTTATTGAATAAAACATAACAAAAACAAAATAAATATAATTTGTGTTTATTACATTCCTGTTACTCTGACAAGATGTTTGTCTCATTGGAAAGTTTTCCTTTTTAAAATATTTTCTTTGAAAATGTTGATGCTGTGACAATGGTATAAACAGAATAACATCATTCTTACTGCGACACAGGTAATGGTCCAATAAACAGAATGAACAACAAAAATCCTCCTCAAAAAAAGTTCTGCAATTCAATTTTGATAATAATAATAATAATAATAACATTTATAGGGCGCTTTATACAGATGTTTCTAAGCGCACAGGTGGTACTGTCTAACTTATCATTGATCATTGATATCTCTCATGTTACTATACAGTGCTAGTCCAAAAAAAGTTTACACCTAGAAAATTGCTAATTATTTTAAAAATCATCTATGAGCAGTAAATTATTGTACGTCTTTTGAAAGAGTGTTTTTTCCAGAATCAATTAGTATCATTTTGTGTGGAATGTGTTCATGCTTGGATGAACAGGAGGCATTATTGCCTATGTGATGTTTGAATAAAACAATTGGGACTGGGTATTAATTCGGTCTTTACAGATCTAAATAATATCCCTAACAAAATTAATCATGCCACACATATCAAATATCGAATATAAAATATCAACAAACATTTGTGGGTGTGTGTGTGACTTTGCTTCTGCAAAAAGCATATGCAATTTTTATTTGATCCATTCAATTCATTCTCTCAATCCGCCAATCCCAACATAAAACATACTGTAGGCATCACTTTGGCGCAAGTCTATTTTTGCACCCTCGCAAACAATGCCTCCTGTTTATCCAAGCGTGATCACATACCACACAAAAATTATACCAATTGATTTGGGATAAAATCTCTTTCATAAGATGTATAATAATTTACTGTTCATAAATGATTTTTTTAATAATTAGCAATTTTCTGGGTGTAAACTTTTGTTTGACTCACACAGTATTATCATATTTCATTGAAAAGCCTGTGTATTTCCCTTTCCAAGGATGCCTCATTTGTAACAATTATGTAATCATGGAATGTGAATACACCTGAATACGGGGCCAAGTCAAAAGTAAAATGCTGCATGCATTATTATTGTCAACAGTTATTTGTTTGGATGATGGTTATGTTTTGAAAGATGTTGAGGCGGTCACTGGTATCAAGAATACTCAAAAATGAATTGCAGAACTTTGCTTGAGGAGTTTACATAACACATAAACTTTCAGCCTGAAGCGTTAACATGAATATTTGTTCCAATCTGACTTCATAATCATATTTAATATACCTCTATTCCCCCCCCCCCCCCAAGCCAAACATTCATGCTTGTATTAAAGTGGGAGAGGGTTTTTATGAAGGAAGAATAAAGAACATTTAACTCTGCATAAGTCAGAAGTCGCGCAATACTAGACATAACATAACACTACATACATGTATACATGAACATAACAATGTATTTGAACATATAGTGTACGAGCATAAATTTCTTGTTTTCTAAGTTGGTTGAAAATGTACAAGTAGAACCTCCATCTATTGGTATGGGCCACCTCCCAACATAATATGTACACACAACAGTCTTCAAACGATCACTTGCGCAATTACGTTTTGGGTACTCTCGTAGATAAAAGCTACCGTATCTAATCTACAAAGTGTAGGTGTTGACGATGTAGGATAGTAGTTCTAGCGTAGGGTTGATAATACCGTCCAGTACAGGCCAGTAAATCACGAATACTCGCGCGTTTGCAAGTACGTGACGTGACGTGACGTGACTGTGACTCTTTGTCATACTTCACCCTACATTGCACCACTTTAAATTATTCTACAAGTGCTTGTTATTGAGACTAGCTGAGACCTGTTACATACATGTACATGTATTTACCCTTATTTCAGTTTACATGACATGATTGTACTCTTGGTTATCGTCAGTTCGTTGGTGGGTGGGGGAGGATCTATTGCCGGATGCTAACCACCCCTCCCCCCCCCCCCACACACACACACACTTTATGATACATGTACAGTCAAACCTGCTTTAGTGACCACCTGTATACAAAGACCACCTGTCTACAAGGACCACATTTTTTGCTTCCCTTGAAAATGGTTTCTCATTGAAACATGTACTTAAGGAACCTGTCTACAAAGACCACCTGTCTTCAAAGGCCACTTTTTGTGTTTCCCTTGGGCGGTCGCTATAGACAGGTTTGACTGTAGTTCTAAATTTAGTTGCTCTAATTGAATTATAGCGAATTGTACTGCATTGGAAATAGAATCAATCTGTCTTGATTCGTCTGTTATTATGGCTCTTTATGCTCATAGTTGATTCCTAGCAAATCTGGATTTAACAGATAATGCAAAAACATCACTAAAAAGTAGACACTGCACAGCTACAGGTTAACAAGAGAATTGTTTACACAAATACACAGAAAAAAATCTGAATTTCATCAACATTTACATGTATAATATGAATATGAATATGAATTGTATATGAAAATATACAAATTTATGATATGTACATGTACATTATCTGTTTTAGAAGAAAAAAAAGGGAACTTCGAATTACTTTATACACTATATTCAGCACAGAGAATATAGCTTTCACTCTGGCATTTTAGGCAGGGTACATTACCAACATCGCTACAACTTCTGTATTAAATGTATTCCTAATACCGCCATCTTTTGGTGAAGGCGTACGTAGGGCGATTTCCGGTTCCTATACCCAAGCATCAGACACATGCTTCATGCAGTTGGTGATGCATTGTGGGACCGGGCTGTCAACACATTGGGACATTGTGAGCAGCAGATGGCAAGATACGTAAATTTGAAGTAGTGTCCGTAGAAAAACCTGTCTTTAAATTACACATTATATGTTGAGCTACATCTTGGATTTAAATCACTTAATCTGCTTGTATTAGTTGGATAATCACTTTATTGCACAAAAATAACTTAAAATAAACTACTAACATTAATAATACTGAAAATAAAGAATGCTGCTCTCCCAATATATTGTTTAATTGTAAATGCTAGTGTCTTCTTTGTTAGCAATGATATGTAACTCTCACTTCATCCCCCCCCCCCCCCTCTTTCTTTCCCATTCCCTAGTAGTTTAAAAACCAGGAAGTTTCAGAAATTGTTAAGGACGGCCCTTTTCAATTTTCACGGCAAGAAACTGTCGCAACTGACCCCCCCCCCCCCCTCTCTCTTTCCCATTCCCTAGTAGTTTAAAAACCAGGAAGTTTCAGAAATTGTTAAGGACGGCCCTTTTCAATTTTCACGGCAAGAAACTGTCGCAACTGACCCTATTGCAAATACGATGTTCGACAGTAGATGGCGAGCTTTCTCCCACACTGCGCAGGTCAGCACATGCGCAGATACCATACTGGGGGAAGACGATGAGACAAGGTTTCTTTAAGCTTCCAAAGAGAAGGATACAAGTTCGAAGAGATGAGTCTTTAACCAAAAAATATATAAACTACAGAAAATACACACACTCCTAATATGGCACAGAATTAAATGGGGTAAGGTACCAACATAAATGTACAACATACATGTACATGTAAAGTACAAGTACACTATTAGCTAGATGTTTTGGCATCACCTTACAGCAGGTGTGACCTATCAAGTGCTGTATATACATGTATATCCATGGTTAGAATGTTCTTGCATGGTTGTCCTGTACATGTGAAAGATCACCTTACAGCAGGTGTGACCTATCAAGTGTTGTACACATGTATATCCATGGTTAGAATGTTCTTGCATGGTTGTCCTGTACATGTGTAAGATCACCTGACATCATTGTCCCATGTATCCATGATTCGAAGGCTGATCTTGCCATGGATAATGCAGAAAGATAGCACATAGAAGAATGTACACTATACATGTATACTCTCTTTGAGATCTCTAGAAAACATCCATATCCATTGTGTTGTATATCTATGGTTAGAAGATTGTTCTCACATACACATCATACTTGACCTATTTCGGTATCTTCAGCAAGTGTACCTATCCATTGTCTTATATATCTATGGTTACATCACGAACCATGTGGTATGATGTCCCGTACATGTGAGAGATCGTATTTGACCTGTTTCAGGATCTTCAGCAAGTGTACCTATCCATTGTCTTTTATATCCATGGTCACATCACGAACCATGTGGTATGATGTCCCGTACATGTGAGAGATCGTACATGACCTGTTTCAGGATCTTCAGCAAGTGTACCTATCCATTGTCTTTTGTATCCATGGTCACATCACGGAGCATTTGGAATGATATCCCGTACATGTGAGAGATCGTACATGACCTGTTTAAGGATCTTCAGCAAGTGTACCTATCCATTGTCTTTTATATCCATGGTCACATCACGAACCATGTGGTATGATGTCCCGTACATGTGAGAGATCGTATTTGACCTGTTTCAGGATCTTCAGCAAGTGTACCTATCCATTGTCTTTTATATCCATGGTCACATCACGAACCATGTGGTATGATGTCCCGTACATGTGAGAGATCGTACATGACCTGTTTCAGGATCTTCAGCAAGTGTACCTATCCATTGTCTTTTGTATCCATGGTCACATCACGGGGCATGCGGTATGATGTCCCATACATGTGAGAGATCGTACTTGATCTATATCAGGATCTTCAGCAAGTGTACCTATCCATTGTCTTATATATCCATGGTTACATCACGCAGCGTGTGGTATGATATCCCGTACATGTGAGAGATCGTTCTTGACCTATTTCAGGATCTTCAGCAAGTGTACCTATCCATTGTCTTATATATCCATGGTTACATCACGGAGCGTGTGGAATGATGTCCCGTACATGTGAGAGATCGTACTTGACCTGTTTTGGAATCTCAAGTTCATCCACGTCGTCCTTGTTTTGGAGAAGCTGCCGGACGACCTGCAATGACCTCTCATACAAGCTGAACACTGCGAAAGAGAGAGAGAGAGAGAGAGGAAATATGGAAATGGAGTTTGTGTGTTAGACAGAAAAAAAATATATATCAGGTGTGCCAATAGTACGAAATTCTACCAATTTCCACTAAGAACATACTCAACAAACTCAAATTCCTGTGAATTCAGTTGATCATGACTACCAGTATGGGAAGATACATACATGTAGTTCAAGTTGTTCCCAATCATTCTTTGTTTAAAGTAAACTAGTTTAAAGAGGTAAAAAGAGATCAGTCGTAAAGGAGTTTCATTGTTTTTTTAATCCCTTGGCATAGACATTTACAATGAATAATGCAGTTGCTCTTAACATTATCAAAATAAAGTTTTATCCCAAAAAGTCTGAAAAAAACGAAATATGACTCGGGTCGATGCACAAAGATCAGGGCCCTGTTGCATAATACTTACCACTGATGGTAACTTCACCGTCAATGCCAACTACCATGGTAACAGGACCTAACAGCCAATCAAAATCAAGGTTTCCATGGTACAGTTAGTTACCATTGATGGCAAATTTACCATCGATGGTAAGTTTTGTGCAATGGGGCCCAGATGTCAGATAGTCTTCATCCCAGCATATTGAGAGAGATAGTTGTGACACACGCATCTACATGCACACGAGATGGTTCATAGGTTAAAACATGGAGCTCAAAATAGTTCCCTCCCATTGAGTCCCATGTACATTCCCTATGGAAAGGAACCAACAAGGAGCATCATGAAATGACTGACCAATCAGACGCAACTTCCAGTGACGCAACTACCTCTCTCCAATGGCTACGGTACTTACTTGGTACTCGTATCTTGACGATGGGAGCCCTGTAGCCTCTCCTACCGTCCCAGGGCTCAGGCATGTAGACTAGCTTCCCGACGCCGTGATCAACGAACTCCAGCATGTCAGCGGTTAACTTGTCACGGGCTATCCAAGGGTGGCCCTCATACGTATGCATGTTCAGCTGCTGGCCCTGGGCCAGGCCATTCTGGGAAAGAAAAAAATTAGGTAGGAGAGTCGGAGTCTATTGGTTTAAAGACCCACTGCACTACTTGTAGCTACTTGCTCCCGCTATATACAAAACAATGCCTAAGCTGTGCCCGTTGGTCCCCTATGATCCTCTTTTTCTTAAGTTAATTGAGAGCTGAATTGATGAGACAACCACCTGTCAGTGACCAAGCTGGGTTGTCTAATCCCTCCTGGCTTAACTAGTGCAGACGGGCTTTAAGTACTTGACTTGAAATTCAAAGGTTGTGGTTCGATCCCCGACATGGCACGAATGTCCTTTGGCAAGGTATTAATCTACATTTGCCACTCACTGCCCAAGAGAGAAATTGGGACCTAGGATGACGAAAGCATTTGTGATAGTAATTGCCATATGCCCTCACGGTGACCATATGGTAGGAAACTAGGAATACTCCACAAGAAGTAGAGATGGTGCACATTGTGCGTGAATGAATCCCATGAACAGGGTCATAATATCTGTGAAGCGCTTAAAGGCGATACTCCGTATTAAGTGCTAATTAATTCCAGATTATTATTATTATCATTAAGATCGACCTGTGAGTGTGAGCATGCGTTAGATTCGACAGAAATAACCGTCTGATATGGGTCATTTCTTTAATAAAACTGACATTTGTTGACATTCCCTATGTATAGAGGCGGTCAGATGCAATCTCAGCGGAACAACCGTCGATATCAGAGACTGAAGCTTTCGGTCTAGCGTTAGATACACAATTAAGGGTTATCAGACAGTTGAGGCCTGAGGGAGACGTTTTGTGCCATACAATGTAGATATACATGTTCAGTTGCTTGCCCAGGGCTAAACCATTTAGGAAAGGACAACTAATATCTACATTCTAGTGATCGAGCATACAATTACGTTATTCGTGTTGCATTTACGTTACAAACCTCGTAATTGCTGGTACCGGTACTTTGTAAAATGTTGCCACTTTCTGTTTGTGATTGTTAATACTTATATATATTCTTTTACAATGTATCTATTATTGTACCTTTTAAGATTGTAAATGAATCTGTTATTGGGCCCTCTAGCCAGTAATGATTTGTTTTCATCAATAGACTGCTTGAAATAATGTTTTTATTTTTGTTGCATTTACATTAAAACCTCGTAAATGCTGGTACTTTGTAAAATGTTGCCACTGTTGTTGTAATCCCTAATCTCTCGATCCTGCTGTTCTTACCTCAGTGAACGACTGTCTCTGCCCGTTGAAGTTCATCCATACCACATCAACCACTCGATCCGTGCTGTTCTTGAAAGACACAAAAGCTTTTATGTTTGATGCTCCTGATTTCAAAGGATTGGGAATCCTGTTCCTATCGTCTATGTTATGGTCCCCCATCGTCCTATCGTCAGATCTCTGCTCGATTTTAGAATCAGTCACACATCACTCTTGATCAGCATATTGGAAAGAAAGAAAAATTTTGCAAGCTTTCAAGATACTCGTGAATTGATATTAATATGTTGTATTCAAGAAAGTATCGACACAGGCTGCCATGCAACTTTGGGGAACTGCTTCAAGAGGGAACTGCTTCGAGGGAGATCGTACATGTATACAATTCTTTGGGGCTCAACGGGGGGAGAGGTGTTGAGAAAAAAAATTGCCCTCTCCCCCAACCCCGTTGAGCAAAATGATTGCATACAATAAGGAACGCTGGTTACATTTTACACGTTTGGCGGGAGGTTTTTTCATAAGTCTCCCGCTACGAGCTGGCGGGACGGCGGGGGAATGGGCGTGGTGGCATGAGACTCCCTCCAAATGCGGGAGGGTTGACAGCCCTGTAGACATGATAGAATGCACCAAATTTGTATGGACATTTTCATTCACAAATGTATGTAGACCTCTATTTCCATTTTCTGAATACATTTCATAAATCATGCTCTTGACTGGAGTGTGGGGATCTAGATCTAGAAAAAGTCTAGACTAGACACTAGATCTAGAAGTCTATTGTCAGTATTTTTTCAGTAGCCTACTGCCTAGATCTATAATATAAAGTTCAGCTCAATATTTTATGTATTTCTACAAATGCTAGTTCCCTCCTCCTCTCCTCCCCCTCCTCCTATTTCTTATTAACCTTCTCTTGAGTCATAACTCTTCTTGTTCCCCTCCTCCTTCTTTTATTCTCCTCCTCCTCCTTTCCCACTTTCAGCCCATCTCATTCTCAAATCAGATGGCATCTGTTTGTTTCTCAGTAAAATCGAATTTAATTCGCTGAGATAATTCCTCCAAGAGTCCAAGCATGCTGAGCAGACATACTGCTGTATTTTGTTAAGAGAAAAAAAATTAAGTTTTGAAATAAAGAGTTAAACTAAGCCAGTAAGCGCGGCCAAGACTCACTCAGCTCAGCTCACTGTTACCCTGGCGTGGCGTGACTGTGTGACTCTGTAAGCTGCTAGCTGTGCAGACATACATGTAGCCATAGGCTGATGTTGGATCCATTTTTAGCCTCTTTTCCGACTAATATATAGAATCTATGACCACTGTCTGGTGTAAATCTCTATCTAAATTTTCTTGACGATGTCGACCATGCTAACCCTCATAATATTCAGGCAAATTCAGATCTGTACTCGAGTCTCGAATGATCATATATTCTAGAATCTACATAGAGTTGACCGGATCGTATGCAATTTAATCAGTGCACGTAGGGCTAGCTTTATCATGCACGCACTGTACTGCACTGCTGCACTGCAGCGTGCACTGAGCTAGCTAGCTACAGACGGCCAAATGAACTTGAAAACAACAACAATGTGTTGCAAATGATCAATAGAGGGCGCATGATCAAAACGCGTGAGCTAAAATATATTGAGAGCCGCAAAAGAATAATCCGCATAATGTAGTACGGAGCTCCAAAGGGGACATAAAACGATGTGAGAAATTAATTTTTATCTCGAAGCTACGACTTAGTATCTCGAAGCTACGACTTAATATCTCGTGGCCACGACTTAGTATCTCGAAGCTACGACTTAGTATCTCGAAGCTACGACTTAGTATCTCGAAGCTACGACTTAGTATCTCGTGGCCACGAATTAGTATCTCGAAGCTACGACTTAGTATCTCGTGGTCACGACTTAGTATCTCGAAGCTACGACTTAGTATCTCGTGGCCACGACTTAGTATCTCGTGGCCACGACTTACTATCTCGTGGCCACGAGATAATTAAGTTGACACATGTGCGCATCATCAGGCGCGTACACAGGGGGGGTGTTTGGGGGGTTAAACCCCCCCTTTGGTAATTTTTTGTGTGTAGACCCCCCCCCTAAATTTCTCTAACCCCCCCCCCCCCCCCCCCCCCCCCTTTTGGATTTTTTTATTTATTTTTTTTAATTTTTTTTATTTAAAAAAAAAAAAAAAAAAAAAAAAAATTCCCATGGTTGACTTAAAAAAGCTGACCTTACCCCCCCCCCCCCCAACGGAGCAAAATGTCAAATTTTCAAATTTCGAGACCAAAAAAAAAAAAAAATGTGTCCTCTTAGCGCCCCCCCCCCCCCCCCCCCCCCCGCAAAAAGAGAGAGAGAAAGAAGGAAAGAAGGGAAAGGGGAAAAGGAGAGAAAGGGAAAGAAAGAAGAGGAAGAAGAAATGAAAATGGGGAAAAGAAGGTCGGGGAACCGAAAGGGCCTTGCCTCGATCCCCCATCAAAAAAATAAGAGAGAAGTCAAATAATGAGGTGTCAAAATTTGCTCATCTGATCGTAATAAAATTGCCTAAAACCCCGGAGCTCCTGGGGGCTCCGCCCCCTGGACCCCAAACCAATTTGGGATCTGCCAGTGTCGCAAATATCAAAATATGCTCATCTGACGGTAATTAAATGCCTATACCCTCTGAGATTCCAACCCTTGACCCGGCCCCGCCGTCCCCCCCCCCTAGATCCACGCCAATTTATGCTACGCTCTACCTTTTCGTAAATACCACCCCCAGGCGGAGATCCAGGATTTCTTATGGGGGCCTAAATTTTAAATAATGCGAGCCAAATATTGGTACGTAATGGTGACCAGCTAGCTAGCATTGGCGTAATGAGCAAACAAGTTTTTTTTTTTTTTTTGGGGGGGGGGGGGCAGACAAAAAAAAAATCTGCATCACCTCCCCCTCCCCCCCCCCCCCCCACTTCTTACATCCATGCCCCGCTGAACGTTTTTCAAAGTGGGTGGGGTGAGGCTAAAGTATTTACAATCAGGTAGAGCGTAGCGAAATGGGCGTGGGGTCAAGGGGCAGAGCCACCCAAAGCTCAGGGGGTATGGGCATATTATGGTCAAATGAGCATATTTTGATACATTATTCATGACACTGGCAGGTCACTAATGGGCGTGGCGTCCAGAGGGGCTGAGCCCCCAGAAGCTCAGGGGTTTTACAGGCGCGGATCCAGGATTTTCCAAAAGGGGGGGGGGGGCCGGAATTTTTTTCTTCAACTCAACATACCAATACTGACAAGGTCATATTAGAAGCACCATACCAGTACCTACAAGCAGGGGCGTCGCTAGACCTTTTTCAGTGGAGGGGGGGGGGGGGGGTGTAGAGGCCACCGATTACCGAAAAAAAGAAGCCACCAATTACCAACAAAATATATTAATGCCAAAGTCCAAATGTCTACAAATTTAACCCTATAAACCCGTGGCCAGGAGTTTAATTATTTTTCAGTTCCCCCTCCCGCGCTTTGACAATTCATTACATTATTAAAGAAAGAAGACGATTCGTTGTACCGTTCTGGACTCTTAATCCTTGTCTGAATTAATTTTCCCCCTCCCTCTTAATCCTTGTCTGCATTCAGGTCCCCCTCCTGCGCGAAGCGCGTAAGCTTTGACGTTTCTTCACATGTACCGTGTTTACACAGTGATCCGTCTCGAGGGTTGAAGCCTCCTTTTTTCTGCTGTGTAAACACGATCACATTTGCGCGCTTTAGAGGCTTCAACCCCCTCGCGGCTTCAACCCGGCTTCAATCCTCGAGGCGGATCACTGTGTAAACACGGTAATAATTACTCTTAATCCTTGTCTGAATTCAGTCTCCCCCCCCCCCCCGCCCGCGCGAAGCGCAGAAGATTTGACCTTTCATTAATAATTATTAGAGACAGAAGGCGATTTGTTGTACCATTCTCGACTCTAATTACTTGACCGAATTCAGTTTTCACCCTTCCGTGCCACCTCCCGCGTTTTGACATTTCATAGTTAAATTAAATTATTAGAGAAAGAAGATGATTCGTTGTTCCATTCTCGGCTCTTAATCCTTGTCTGAATTCAGTCCTCCCCCCCCCCCTCCCGCGGAAGCTTAACGTTTCATTAAATTATTAGAGTAAGTAGACGAATTGTTGCATCGTTCTCGACTCTTATAAGCTTAATCCTTGTCTGAATTGAGTTCCCCCCCCCCGTCCATGCGAAGCGCGGAAGCTTTGACGGTTCATTAAATTATTAGAGAAAGAAGACGATTCGTTGTACCGTTCTCGACTTGTCAGAATTTAAAAAAATGTTTCTTTGTCTGCTCCATTTTCTTCCTATGTCCTCTTACTGCCCCTACCGCCCCTGGCTACGCGCCTGCTTTAAAGGGAAAATGAAACAATCATGATTGTGATAGCACACAATTAGGTTAGTAGAATGAAAAGGAAAAAAAAGAGATTTATTACTGTACACCAACCATGGATAAATCACGGCCTGGAGCGTCATATCATAGTTTTGTGTGATTGGGCGAGGGGGCGTAGCGACCAAGCGAGATTTTGCAATGTTGAATGCTGAAATTATGCATTCTAGAAAATCCCTAAGCCCCATATGTACGTTCTTTCTGCTATATTTCTTTCTAGCTATATGTTTAAATTTACCGGGGGACGTGTCCCCCTAACGGGCCCCCTCGCCGCCCCTGTCCATGATTACTACCAACATGAGTTCAAATACAAGCACAAGCGAGTTGGTATGAGCTGAAGCCAAATGAAGGGCAAAATAAGAGTTGTGAAGCGGCTCCTTTACCGTTAATTTAAAATTTGTCTGTTTAGTATAATTATAGCTTCTATTTAAAAGACATCCAACATTTTGTGCCCTTTTCAAATTTCTCACTAAAGAGTGATGACCTTTGTAGCGCAGGGGATGTTTTTAACGTTTAACTTTAAATCCACGGCTCGAGATTTTATGCGACCGGCCCCCTTTTTTCAATAACGTTTCCCAAACCCTCTGGAATGACCCCAAATCTCCCGATTACAGTTTTTTTTCCCTTATTTGTCGTTACTGTCACTTTCTATTTCCTTGTCTTCCCCCTTTCTCACCCGACTTTTCTCTCCCCCACCCACTCAGTGTTATCTATAGGGTACGCACAGGGGTGGATATAGGGGGGGGGTTCGGCGGTTTAACCCCCCCCCCTTGGGTGGCCAAGTGGAAAAAAAGAAGGGGAAACAAGAAGAAGAAAAAGAAGAAAAAAAAGGGAAAAAAGTAAAACAGTAAAACGGCGCGATTTTTGGAAAATCCTGGGTCCGCCACTGGATCAACCCCGCCCCTCTCCCCTTGGCAAAAAGCTAGGTCTGCCCCTGACGCGCATGCACGTCCCCTCTCTTTGAAAGCACCCCTCTATCTCCGGTGTGTCAGTACGGGCCGGATTTTTGTGTATTACGGGCCGGACTTCATTGCGTGAGTGGAAGGGAGGGGGTTTCTTCTTTTTCTTTTCTCCTTTTTCTCTTTGTTTCTTTTCTCTTCTCTTTTCTCTTCTCCTTTTTTTCCTCTTCTCCTTTCTTTTTTTCTCTTTTTTTTCTCTTCTTTCCTTCCCTTGTTTTTGCGCCGCCAATAGGGCGGGCCGCGGCCGTTTCGGCCCCTTTCTGGATCCGCTACTGGTTTTAGGCATTAAATTGCCGTCAGATGAGCATATTTTGATACCTTATTTGTGCCACTGGCAGGACACTAATTGGCGTGAGGTCCAGTGGCCGCAGCCTCCGGAAGCTCAGGGGTTTTAGGCATTAAATTACGGTCAGATGAGCATATTTTTATGCTCGAGGCCCTCGAGTCCCGCCGTTCCGCGGGCCCTGACATGTAGGCCTCTAAATAAGCATATTTCTTGCCTGACTGTAAGTTTAGGAATCTGTCATTTTCCAACAAACTCATAAACAAGTATAATTTACTAAAAAGTGAGGAAAAAGTGAGGAAAATTATGTAATTTCAGCAACATTTGTAAATCACCGGTATTTAGCGGTAATTGGGGTGGGGGCAACTGCCCCCTTGTTGGCAATAAAAATCGCAACTGATCTCCCCTCTTTCCCTTTCCCCTTCAATTCCTTCCCTCTCTTTTAGGCTTGATAGGAGAGGGAAGGCAAAGGCCTTTCGCCCCCCCCCCGATCCACACGTTAATCGCAACAGATCTCCCCTTCTTTTCTTCTTCCTCTTTTTAGTTCCCTTTTAGCTCTCCTCTTTCCCTTTCCCTTCCTTCTCTCTTTTTTGGGGGCGGAGGC